GGCCGCCCATTGGCGGGGCCAAGAGAGAGGCCGGAAGTGGAGGAGAGGCGGAAGCGCGCCCAAGCCGAGTCAGGTGCTGCTGGAGAAGAAGAAGAAGAAGAGAAGAGAAGAAGAGGAGGAAGACAGGCCAGCGAGGGAAGGAAGGAAGGCTCCTCGAAGGCGGGTCAGAGGAGAGGAGACTTGAGGAAGAGCTGTTGACTTCTCAGCCCTGCCTGGTCTCTCATTGGGAATGGAGGACTAACCCACGGTTTGAAATAGGTATGTGTTTCCTCATTGTATTGAGAGCTTTGTAGAAGGGATCATAGCATCGTAGAGTTGGAAGAGATCTCATGGGCCGTCCAGGCCAACCCCCTGCCAAGAAGCAGGAAAATTGCATTCAAAGCACCCCCGACAGATGGCCATCCAGCCTCTGTTTAAAAGCCTCCAAAGGAGGAGCCTCCACCACACTCCGCAGCAGAGAGTTCCACTGCTAAACAGCTCTCACAGTCAGGAAGTTCTTCCTAATGTTCAGGTGGAATCTCCTTTCTTGTAGTTTGAAGCCATTGTTCCGCGCCCTAGTCTCCAGGGCGTCCTCACTCCCTCCTCCCTATGACTTCCTCTCACTTATTTATACATGGCTATCATGTCTCCTCTCAGCCTTCTCTTCTTCAGGCTAAACATGCCCAGCTCTTTAAGCCGCTCCTCATAGGGCTTGTTCTCCAGACCCTTGATCATTTTAGTCACCCTCCTCTGGACACATTCCAGCTTGTCAACATTTCCCTTCAATTGTGGTGCCCAGAATTGGACACAGTATTCCAGTTGTGGTCTAACCAAGGCAGAATAGAGGGGGAACATGACTTCCCTGGATCTAGATACTATACTCCTATGGATGCAGGCCAAATCCCTTTGGCTTTTTTTGCCGCCGCATCACATTGTTGGCTCATGTTTAACTTGTTGTCCACAAGAACTCCAAGATCTTTTTCACATGAGCCAGGCATTGTCCCTCATTCTGTATCTTTGCATTTCGTTTTACCTGCCAAAGTGGAGTATCTTGCATTTGTCACTGTTGAACTTCATATTGTTAATTTTGGCCCATCTCTCTAATCTGTCAAGATTGTTGTGAATTCTGCTCCTGATGCAGTTTGGCAACGCTTTAACTGCCATGGCTCAAAGCTATGGGACTCCTGGGAGTTGTTTGGCACCAACAACACTCTTGGGCAGAGAACGCTCAGCACCTTGTAACCATATAAGAGGAAAGATCAAGCCAGCCACTGCTAGGAGTTTATTGTGAGAGCTTGACAAAGCCTTGAGCCTTCTCTGCTCAAGAGTGTTGTTGGTGCCAAACTACAACGTCCAGTATTCCCATAGCCTTAAGCTGTTCCATGTTGGGGGCACTTTTTGTGAAAGAGACATCTTTTCTTTTCTTTTCTTTTTTTTTTTTTTTGCAGCATCAGTTGTTCTGGGTTGCTGTGAGTTTTTCGGGCTGTATAGCCATGTTCCGGTAGCATTCTCTCCCGATGTTTCTCCTGCATCTATATAAGGCAGGTATGGGCAAACGTTGTCCCTCTGAGTGTTTTGGACTTCAACTCCCACAGTTCCTAACAGCTGGTATGACCATTGAATAGCAGCAAGTGAGAAGAAGACATAAGCTATTTGAAGTGACAATGAACTGGCCTAGACTTTGATTTTAATTGCTGTGTTTTTAATAACTGTTTAGTTAATGTCTTGTTTTTAACGAATTTGTTGTTTATTTTTATGATTGTGATGGCACCGAATGGTACTTGCTGTGAGGTTGCCCTGAGTCCTCCCTTGGGGGATGAGAACGGCAGTATACAAATGTACGAAATAAATAAATGAAGTCCAAAACACCTGGAAGGACAAAGTTTGCCCATGCGTGGTGTGAGGCCTTCGACAAAGTCCTCCATTACCTTCTTGCAAGCAAACTAGTTAAATGTGGGCTACTGTTAGGTGGATCTGTAATTGGTCAAGTGACCAAACCCAAAGGGCACTCTCCAATGGTTCCTCTTCATCCTGGAAATAAGTGACTAGTGGGGTGCCACAGGACTTTGGCCCTAGGCCCTGTACTGTTCAACATCTTTATTAATGACTTGAATGAAGGTTTAGAGGGCATGCTTATCTAATTTGCAGATGAAATCAAATTAGGAAGAAGAGCTAATTTAAAAGGATCATAACAGATTAGAGAGCTGGGCCAAAACTAACAAAATGAATTTCAACAAAGACAAATGTAAGATACTTCACTTAGGCAGAAAAAATGAAATGCAAAGATACAGGAGGGGTGATGCCTGGTAAGATACTACACTTAGGCAGAAAAAATGTAATGCAGTGATACAGAATGGGTGATGCCTGGCTTGGCAACAGTTCATGTGAGAATGATCTTGGAACTAAAAAACCAATGGGATTTTGGTCTGTACCAAAAGGAGTGTAGTGTCTAGATCAAGGGAAGTCACAGTGCCTCTCTATTCAGCTTTGGTCAGATATCACCTGGGATACTGTGTCCAATTCTAGGCACCACAGTTCAAAAGACAAGCTGGAAGGTGCCCAGAGGAGGGCGACTAAATGATCAAAGGTCTGGAGACCATACCCTATGAGGAGTGTCTTAACGAACTAGGTATGTTTAGCCTGTTGAAGAGAAGGCTGAGAAGAGACAAGAGCCATGTATAAATTTGTGAAACAATGCCATAAGGAAGAGGGAGCTGGTTTGTTTTCTGCTGCGCTGGAAACTAGGCCTCAGAGTAATAGGTTCAAATGATAGGAAAGGAGATTCCACCTGAATATTAGGAAGAACTTTCTGACCGTAAGAGCTATTCAACAGTGGAATTCTCTGCTTCGGAGTGTGGTGGAAGCTCCTTCCTTGGAAGCTTTTAAAAAGAGGCTGGATGGCTATCTGTCAAGGATACTTTGTGCTTTTCCTGCATGACAGGGGGTTGGACTAGATGGCTCATGTGGTCTTTTCTAACTCTATTATTCTATGATTCTAAGCATCCACAGAGGTTTGTTTGTAAATGAGGCCAGTGGAGTGTGTGTGTATGTATGTGTGTATATGTATGTATGTATGTATGTCTTAAATTCCACATGCTTGTGGATTTCAATGGTTTCTCTATGACAACATGATGGTTGTCAGATTGGTCTGGAATTCTTCAGGTCTCTGAAGATGCCAGCCACAGATGCAGGTGAAATGTTAGGAGAAAATGCTGCTCGAACACTGCCATACAGCCCGGAAACCACACAACACCTCATTGACAACAGCTGTTTCTTTTGACAGTGTAACTGATTGGGTCTTTTAAAATCGCTTTCCTTTCATACAAATGTAATCAAAAGTGGGTTGATGGAGTAAGTTACTGGTTGTATTTATAGCCCTAAATGGAGCAACTTCCTGCCCCCTTCCTTTTGGAAATCTGACCTAGGTTGCTAGGAGAAAAATGGTATCTCACTTTAGGATATACCCATATTATGATTTACCACTATACTCATAGTCAGATGTAATGGCACTCAATGCAAAATTTTATTATACTTCTGAGAAGAAAACAACAACCTCAAAATGAAATTGTTATTTTAACATTCTGTTCCAGGACAGTCAGACCTCAATTTTAAATTAATTGTCCTGTCATGATTTCTATTGTGTCTAGGTATAACTGTACTTTTTATTGCTTGGATCAAAGTGTAACTACTTGCAGTAAAATTCCATGTTGAACTAGTATTTTGACAAAAGTCCCTGTCAACAAATTCCTTGTTCTTAAATAGTATCTGATAGCCAAATTAAAAAGAAAAATGGGGATCTACCCCTCTTCTCTTTCCACATGAAACGTCCTCTTCTACAAACTGGTAAAGATTCAATCTTTCACATATAGCCTTTGTCATACATTCAGATGGGAAACAAACTTAGTCTTTTATTACAGCTTCACTTGCTTGATAATGAAAAAACAGCTATTTGGGCCACTTGCTCATATTGACATTTAATAATAGCAAAATTAACCAGTAACAAAAGGGCAGTATTAAGCAACCATCTTACTCTGTAATTGTTTTTTCTCCCCTTTTGTTATACTGTAGGGAATAATGTAGAACTGCCATAAAAGTTATCCAAAAGTACATCTAATCTAACACTCTGAGTTTGCATTCGCTAGTTAGATGTACTAAAAAGCTCTTCGGTATTATCTGGTACCTGAACTGTGCTGCCTTTGAGCATGGAGAAGCAGTGCCTGCTGTTATGGCTTGTTGTTGTGTGCCTTCAAGTCATTTTGACTTATGGTGGTTATTATTACTCATTTATAGATAATACCATAAATGTGCATTTAAGTTTACAAGTAAAACAAACAAAAACAGTGTGTCCTGTCAAAGGTCATACAATCTACAATATGTAAACACACACAGAGGGAATGAATTAATAATAGAAGATAAGACAATACAGAGTGTAAAATGATTCGAATTAAATATAAAAATATAGACAGGCAATTTCAGGAGTATGAAGGAATGATTGAAAAATGATGAAACTGGGCTAAGGAGCCTAGAATTCCTGGAACACAAATCTTAAGCAGACTGGTGAAAAGGAATACAGGATGAATTAATAGAGGAGAGTAGCATTGTATAGAGTTTAGAACATTAAAACAAAACACTTATATTTGAATCCTGGAAAGAATAGTGGAGTAACCAATAAAGGAATATCAAGAGTGGTAACGTGACGGGTCAAAAGATAATCTTACCAGCAGAATATTGAATGGAAGTCAGAGGACTAAGGAGAGATAATAGAAGACCAGTCAAAAGAAGATTACAATGATTAAGGCAGGAAATGAGCAAGGCATGAATTAAGGTCTTAGCAGAGGAAGCAGAAGGAAAAGGTCTTACTTTGGCAGTGTTATCAAGACAAAAATCATGACTTTGCTGTAGCCTCAAAATAGGGAACACAAGACAGAAAAGTAAGAAAAATAAAAATAAAGCTAAGACTGTGTGCTTCATTCACAGAGAAAATTAACTGTGATGGAGAGTGTATGTTGTAAATAAGGTTTTGGAGGAATAATAAGTAGTTCTATCTTTGCCATGTTATATTTTAGGCAACAACAAAGCATCCATGCTGAAATAGCTGAAAAACATGCTGTAATGCGACGTTCAGTGTAAGAAGACAGTTTTGGAGTGGAAAGGTACAGCTGAGCACCAGCAGGATAAAGATGATATTGAAAACCATGTGAACGGATGAGATTACCTAAATATAGTGTATAAAGAAAAAACAACAAAGGGCCCAGAACAATCCTGTGGAACTCCAACTGAAAGTTAGTGACTTAAGGTGAAACTATCATAGTGTTTTCATGAAAATATTTGTTCAGAGGTGGTCTACATGCCTCTGAGGTTGAGAGTGTGTGACATCCAATGTATTTCCTTGGCTGTAGCCTCACAGAGTCCTAATCCAATATGCAAACCACCAAACTGCCGGTCTTTGTTATGGTTATTAGATACTGATAAACATGTGCAAAACAAGGCTTAAATTTCTTACTGGCATCACTGCCAGGGGCCTTGATAACAGGTAATGAATTCTACCAGTAACATAAAAGTACAGTTTTGTCATCTACAGTGAGGAAGGGTGTCTCAACACATTGGTCATGCTATTAGGAAAAAAGGTCTACTGCCACGGTTTTGAGATTTCTTATTAAAAAGACATTGTAAGGCAGAAAACAGGGTTGGTTTCTGAAGTGACTGGGTTTGCTTGTGTTGCAAAATGCAAAGAGTCATAGAAAAATATGCAGAAACTTGCATCTTGTCCAGCAGGAAGGATACCTTTGAAATTATTCATTCTTGCATGCAGGAACAAAAGTGACATTTCACATCTCTAAATTCTATCAACAAAGTGTAAAACTGATTTTTTGTTCCTGTTAAACCTTTTCTCAGGTACATGAAGGAAAAACAGACTGACAATGAGCCTTGTAAGAAGCAAGGAGCTGAGAGTGAGCATGGGCACAGATTATTTTGCAGTTTGTACATTTGTGACCTAAATTGATAGAATCTCCTTTTAGCGGTGCTAAGTATCTGTATGGAAATATGGCATCAATGTCCATCCACATGGTTTATATTCCCTTTTGACATAAAATATATGGGAAGAGATCGCTTTCATTAGTCCTGTTCTGGTGTTTGCAGAACAGCATCTAAACAGAATGTAATAAATCTGCATTTGTTTTGCCCATGTAGCGGATTACTGGCTGGGATTACTGGCTCAGTGTAGCTTTGCCTTGGTTGCTGGGTGAGTTCTCTACAGGTTACTTAGATGTGAAAGAAGGAGCTGGAAAAACTGAAGACTATTTCAGAGGCCTTTCTGTTGATGAGTATCATGTGCTACCTCACTCATGGAAGTAATTGGGAGCTTTCCCTAAAGGCAGAAAAAGAAGGATTTTTGGAATGTTTGCTGTCTTTAAATTGAATTTACAGTACTAAGTACTGTAGACCTTTGATATCTGCTGGGGTTTCATTCCAAGACCACTCATGTTTCCCAAAATCTATGGATGTTCAAGTCCTGTTATAAACAATGGCATAATAAATAGTGTTTCCATGATTACAGCCCTGCACTTATCCTATTCCCTTGTCCTATTGTTTACAGCCTGTCCACATTTACAGTAACTTACTGCCATTGGTTGATGAGTGCTGTTTTAATTTGAGTCTTAAGTTGTTTGTTTTTATGCCTATTTATATATTTAGTTGTATTTTATATTGTGTTTTATGTTCTGTCTTTTGGCACCTTGTGCCATGTGTAAGAGGCCCGAGACCCTTTGGAGAGATGGAGGTGGGATACAAGAATAAAGTCATTATTATGATTATTGTTATAGAAAAAAAAAGCAAAGGCAGAAATAGCCTTTTGGATTTTTAAACATGTTTTCAAGCTGTGGATGCAGAATCTGTGGATTTGGAAAGCCGGCTGTATAAGCTTCTGGCAGCAGAGTTCATTTCACAAAGATATCTTATAGTCCAACGGCGGCCTATGTCTTCCTTTTCCTTCTTAGCTTAGTTTGTAAACTGCCATTGACACAATAATCTATTCTATGGCAATTCAAAATTGCTTATAAGAAACAAGGCAGGAATCATTCTGTAGGTTTCTGTCATGAAGCAGAGATTCAAACCCTGGTCTCTGGAGTCTCTGTTTTTTGGGATTTCAACTCCCAAAAGCAGCTTGTCTAATGGACAGGAATTCTGAGAGCTGAAGTTCCAAACAGGATGTGCAGGCCTGGGCTACACTATCCTGTATTGTATACAGTATTGTGCTTTATTCAAAAATATAAAACTAAAAATGCATGAATGCAGAGAGGCTCCTTAAAGAGAACAAGTTATACTTCCATGTTTCTGAATAGTTGGTGACTTTTCCAGGAGCTGACTTCACACTTCGTCTTCTTCTCATGGTAGTTTTAGTCATTTTGGAGCACTCCATAGGGCTTCTTTGCTCCACAGCAGTAACTCAGTGCTTCATTCTCACAAGTTATGCAGGAGGGAGCAATGAGAAACAGGGCCACTTCATTGGCTCAGCTGAGAGATTAGCTATTTTTCTGGCTGAACTGTTAGTCATAAGGTGATTGATAATGTTCCAATTGCCTTAAGTCTGATCACTATAGGGACAGAGTAACATGAACTTGTGCCTGATTTTGCTTCTTGTTCTATTCTGTTCTTTTTCCAACCCCAGGGAGAGGCTACAAGCTTTAGAGATTGTAAAATAGATCTTGAGGGGGGGGGGGGGGGACATTTGGTTTTGCCTTGTTTTTATTCCTTTTTATTGCCTTGTTTGCCTTTTGCCTTGTTTTTATTCATGCGTAAGCTGTTCTTGAGAGCCTTCCCAGTTGTAGAAACTATATACACTGCTTGTAGAGCAAGGCAGCAGGGGTATGTCTGTGCCAAAAGGGTTGTGTAAGGAGAGCTATTTCATTTGCAGTTTTATTCCCCACATTCCTCCTCTTTCCCTCCTGCTTTTATTTTCAGCTGATCTTTGGTAACAGAAGTGAGCTTATCTGAGAGGTAAAAATAAAGTTTAAAAATATCTACATTCCTCCCTTGTTATTTTCCTTTACTCCAAAAATCCGGCTATTCCTGGGATGGAAGCATCTTGGATTTTAGTAGATGGGTTTCCAGCCATCATATTTCATCTTTGTCATTAAAATTACTAGATAGGGTTCTCAGTATAGTTTTGTACTTTGTTGAAATGCTCAGCTTGCCCGACAGGCTTCATTTCCTCCTTGCTCCAAAGAAGGCTGACTTTCTTATACCGGTCAGCTCTTACATACTTCCCTTTTGCTTTGAAGTTGTGGTGTTGTTTTTCCCAGAAGATGTCTGTGTCCCTTCAGCCCACAACACTTCATTTCTGAATTCACTTATGACAGTTATAATGTAGACTTTCATTGAGTTCAATCCTACAGAAGTGGCTTTTTCAGATGTTCTGGACTACAACTCCCACATCCCCTTACCATTGGTCTTATTGGGTGCTCCTGATGGGAACTACAGGCCAAAACAACTTGTTTTAGCTGACCTAGAGGCAGATCTGTTGTACAGGCATATATGTAATTTTATTTATTGGGGAATTCAATTTATCACTAGGATGACTTATCATGTACTACAATGAAGAGCACCTCCATCCCAACCTTAAAACAGCCAAAATATTGAAACCATTGATTTAAAACCAATCTAAACAATATAACATATTTAGGAAGTTCTAGAGCAGTATGCCAACATCTAGTATTTTTTATGGAAATACAAAAGACACTGTTTGGATTCATGTCATACACAACAGAGATTACAAAGATCAAATATCTCTGGGTTTTTGTTATTAGTTTGGAGGTATTTCTAAAATATGGGTGGTAGAAATATGTGTCTTTTAGGTCAAGTGATCAAGTGTGCATATTCTTTTTTTAAGGACCCATGAAATGGCCACAGATGATAAGGCATCCCCAACATTGGACTCTATGAGTGATCTTCCCTACTGTCCTGGGAGTCCCTCTCACCTTACCCACTTCAAGCCTTTGACTCCTGACCAGGATGAACCTCCATTTAAATCAGCCTATAGTTCTTTTGTAAATCTCTTTCGCTTCAGTAAAGGTAAGTATTAACTATCCTTTGTATTATTTTTCTCGTGTCAAAAATGAAGGCAATCTCCTTCAACCAGCAAGTATGCCAGTAGTACTCATTATTTGGGCTGCATTTGCCAATAATGCTAAGCCGAAGCATTGTGGAAATGCATCTTGGACTTTTGTATTTATAAGCATTTTTTCTTTTTCTCATTACTGGAATTTGGAGTAACAGTAGTTAGTGTTCACTTTGGTTTACTGAAATAAAGTTGATTCAAACTCTGGTTTATAATCTTAGCTTGTTTGAGTAAGGTTAGACCAGACTCACATCTTGGCCCACCTAGCCAACAAATACTCAAAAAATTGCCCTAATAAGCTAAACGTGGCCTTTTTGGACCTGAAGGGGGCATTTGACTCTGTGAATAGAGAAAAGTTGTGGGAAAAACTAGCAGCCCTCAACATAGACCCAAGACTCCTCTTCTTGATTAAGAAATTGCACAACCAAAACCTCTGCCAGGTGAAAGACCACAGGGGATGCCTGTCAAACCCGTTCCTGGTTCAAAAGGGAGTCAAACAAGGGTGCGTACTAGCCCCACTCCTCTTCAACATCTTTTTGCACGATCTCCCTACAGCCCTGGCTCAAGTTGACGGGCATAGCCCCAAGATTGGCCCAAAGCATGTCCCCCTTTTGCTATTTGCGGATGATGCAGCCCTATTATCCCTCTCTCATGTGGGCTTAAAAAGACTCCTGCATAAATTTGTTGATTTTTGCGAGACGAACGAACTGCAGGTGAACTACGATAAAACCAAAATCTTGGCGTTTGGGAAAAGCAACAAAAGACAAGTCTGGAAGATAAAGGGCCATTATATTGAGCAAGTAAAACATTTCAAATACCTAGGTCTCTGGTTTAGCAACAACTTGTCATGGTCCACCCACTTAAAATATACACTGGCCCGGGCCAAATCGAGTGGCAGTGCGACCAGGAGGTTCTTCCACTCCAGGGGTAATCAATATATCCCCCTAGCTCTGCAAGTCTTCAAAGCAAAGGCGATGTCACAACTTCTCTATGGAGCACCCATCTGGTTAACCCCCAATAACAGCGCCATCAGATCTTTTCATTCGAAATTCCTCCACAAACTATATGGTGCCCCCAACTGTGTCCCGTATGCAGTTCTTTGTCTTGAATCTGGGCAATATTCTATTGAGGCTACTATCTGGCTAATCGTCATCAAATTTTGGCTATCTATACACTATCAAAGTCCCAGCGACTCTCTGACTCAACTCACCTTGAGCGAACTCCACCACTCCAAATGGTGCTCAACTGTCCTAGCAAAGATCGGGAAATTGGGCTACGACAGCGATTTCCTGACCCTACTATCCTTTTCCGAGATTTTTACCCTCATCAAAAGGAGGCTGCTAGAAAGGGACCACAACCAATTGTTGAGCTTGGCAAACAAATCCTGCTCACCTATTAACTTGGCAATTCCATACACACAGGGAAATCCAGCCTTTTACATCACAGAGCTCACCAACCCCTCTTACAGAAGAGCCTACATGCTGGCTAGATTTAACATCATGCCATCGCCGCTCCATAGAGGAAGACTCAATGGCCTCCCGAGCGACAAGAGGGTCTGCCTCTGCAGCACAGGACAGCTAGACTCCATACCGCATATTCTCCTGCACTGTCCACTCTACCAGGAGCTAAGATCCAGCCTGCTAACACAAGCTATAGATTCACTGAAGAACCGCAGCGATTCTGACAAAGTGATTTTGCTTTTAAATTGCCAGGACTTTAGCTGCTGCCTTTCAGTGGCAAGATTCCTGAATGAAGTCTGCAAACTGAATGTGTAGCAAACGAGAAGTCCTTTTTTATTACGTGTACTATGTTTTATACTCTCTGCCATGTTATGCCAATAAAGGCTTATTGGATTGTTGTTGTTTGAGTAAGGCAATGTTCGTACTGACTGCATTTCATGGTTTCAATGTAATGGAAAGTAGAGGTTAGTTGAGAAGTAATGAAAATGTCTAATCTCCTACTTGTTAGAGAGCCAGAGGAGAAGACAAAGGGTGGATGAATAGACATATGTACTCAGAGCAGTAAACTGGTTTAGTTTTGAGTATATATATAACAATTGTTGCATTTATACAATGTATGTTGAGCAGAAGAGAAAATGCATTAGTAGGGCATCTTGGGTTTGTAGCATGCTTTAAAGCAGTGGTTCTCAACCTGTGGGTCTCCAGATAAACTGGCTGGGATTTCTGAGAGTTGTAGGCCCAAACACTTGGGGACCTACAAGTTTAGAACCATAACTTTAAAGCCTTTTGTAGGGGGACTTTGGAAGAACAAAATATAACCAAGGAGTCCTGGCCTATCTTTGGCATCAGACAAAACCAAGGATCGCTCTGCCTTGCATTGACTGTGATTAGTCTGTGGAATGAAATGCTTACAGAAATATGATCCTAGACTGAGAGAGATCATGGATGTGATTGTATTTATTTTCCCCACATGCCAGGTAATTAACAGCTCATAATCCATTATTTGAACACTTTCTTTTCAAGATAATTAGGAGAGAAATTAGAAGTCAGAGATACCAAGGCAAAGAACGTATGCCCCACTGGTTAACTGGTAGGTTGCAGTGTTACCAATCCCTGAGTTGTAGGCTTTGTAGCTGTGGACTGTGTAGCATTGTCGTAGATTGCTGAAGGGCATTAACTAGGCTGCTTGGCAAAGGTGTTTGTTCCTTGTTGTAGTAATGTCATATACTAGTTCTGTGGTGAAGTAATGCAAGTAATCTCCCGCTACGATCTACCTCAGGCCCTAAGATCATCTGAGAAGACCCTGCTCATTGTCTCCCCATTGTCACAATCGTGTCTGGCAGGGACAAGGGACAGGACCTTTTCTGTGGTGGCCCCCTGGCTGTGAAATTAGATCTGCTGCATCCCTCTTGACCTTCTGGAAACAAGTAAAATCCTGACTATGGGATCAGGCCTTTGAAGAATAGGCTGACCTACTGACGTGTTGACTTATTAAGAACTGATGGACTGCCCTTGGATAATGATTTAGATCGGTGACCAATGACTATTTGTCTGTTTTTATATTGTTTATATGGTTTTATACTGTTTATATTGTTTTATATTGTTATTATTACATTGCTGTTAATTTTATATTTACTTTTTGATGTGGGCGCCATGGGGTGCCACTTTGTTAGCCGTTCCGAGTCCCTCTGTGGAGGTTGAGAAAGGACGGAATATAAAAGCCCTAAATAAATAAATAAGAACCCTGAATAGTTTATTGTTGTGATCTCATCCTTTCTTTAGATGTCTTTTTCTGATTAGAGTTGTGGATTACTAACTAGTACTAACCAGAGTTCTGTTTGCAAGACTGAAAAGGTAAGATAGATTCTTGGAAGGAAGCCTGTTGAATTAGTTAAGATTTACTTCTGAGGAAAATAATCAGAAGATTGGGCAGCCAAAGAATTTCCCTTAGATCTTTTTCTGGTACGACAGAATGTCGAGATGCTGGTTCTAGGGCAGAGCATTGGAATATTTGGATCTCTTGGGACTTTTAGAAATGTAAGTTAACTCGAGGCAGTGTTAATGGATTGCATGAGATGATGTCTGGAACATCAGGAATGCAAAAGGTGCCAGAGGGCTTTTTGGTAACCATTGCAACTGTGTATGGATATTGTGCTAAAGAACTGGGTTTAAAATAACTACATATCTTTTGTCAGTGTGTGTAACACTAGGGGTGGACAAAATATGGTTTATAGGCTGTCACTTGGGGCACAGGTGACAGTTTTACCATGATTTGGCCTTCTCTGAGCTGTTCTAAGCCCAGGAGAGACAATTTTCTAAAACAGGAAGGGGCTTTCAATCTCTCCCTTTTTGTTAGGAAAACTTTTCTTGGTCCTGAGACAGTCCAGGGCCACTCAAGAACATGAGGAAATGTCACCATTTGGGGTCATTTGAGACAAAAATCAGTTCTTTCTTTTTTTCTTTATTTTGCAGAGTAGTTTAATTGGGGGTTGTGGCCAGTCAAGATTGTAGCCCATAGTCATATCTAACATGATCCCACATAACCTAGCCTCCTACAGTTAGCCACTCCTGCTGTAACTCTTAATTGAATTATGTCTTATTGAATCCAGTGAGACTTATTTCAGAGCATGTATTTACTATATTTTTACCCTGCTCTTTCTCATGCCGAAGGGGATTCAGAGTGGCTTCCAAGTTGGTAATATTCAATGCCATACAAGCAACAAACAGATACAATATACACAAACATTAAAATCATTAAAACTTAAAAAAATCACAGCATAATTATTACATTCCATTAATACATTAAAATCGGCTATTAAAACCACACAAATTTGAAGTCATAGTCCAGGAGCCATTCCAATCATACTACACTTACTTCATTGCTGCCTATTGCACTGATTGTTTTCCAAAGGCTTGTTCCCATAGCCAAGTTTTCAGTTCTTTCTGAAGGTCAGGAGGGAGGAAGCTGATCTAATTTCACTGGGAAAGGAGTTCCACAGGTATTTTTATTTATTTATCGTGTCATCAGCAACCATTGTATTACAATTCTAACAGAGCAAAACAAACACAGAGATTAAAAAGAAAAAGAAAAAAAAAAGAAAGAAAAAAAACCACACAGATTTTGCAAATTTGGTATTTGGTTAAATGTCCTTTGACCAGTATCTGGCCACTTGGAGTGCCTCTGGGGTTGCCGCAAGAAGGTCCTCCATGGTGCATGTGGCAGGGCTCAGGGTGCATTGCAGCAGGTGGTCAGTGGTTTGTTCTTCTCCGCACTCGCATGCCGTGGATTCCACTTTGTAGCCCCATTTCGTCTGCAGTTTGTTCTTCTCCGCACTCGCATGCCGAGGATTCCACCCTGTAGCCCCATTTCTTAAGATTGGCTCTGCATCTCGTGGTGCCAGAGCGCAATCTGTTCAGCACCTTCCAAGTCGCCCAGTCTTCTGAGTGCCCAGGGGGGAGTTCCACAGGTGAGGGGCCACCACTGAGAAGGCCCTGTCTCTCGTCCCCACCCATCTGAGTTCCACAGGTGAGGGGCCACCACTGAGAAGGCCCTGTCTCTCGTCCTCACCCATCACACTTGCGAAAGAGCGGGGCTGAGAGTAGGGCCTCCCCAGAAGATCTTAACCTCAGAGGTGGTTCATAGAGGGAGATACGTTCAGACAGGTAAGCTGGGCCAGAACTGTTTAGGACTTTATAGTCCAAAGCCATCACTTGGAATAGTGCTCTGTAGCAGACTGGCAGCTAATGGAGCAGTCATAAGATTGCATTGTGAATCCTATAGTGCAGTGGTTCTCACCCTGGGGTCCCCAGATGTTTTTGGCCTGCGACTCCCAGAAATCCCAGCCAGTTTACCAGCTGTTAGGATCTCTGGGAGTTGAAGGCCAAAAATGTCTGGAGACCCCAGGTTGAGAACCTCTGCTATAGTGGATTCACTCATTGGCTTTGGAGATCTTTTCCTTCTTTTACAATCCTTCTTGTCATTTTGTGAGCCCTGGGCAGTTGGTGAGGCAAGTCTTTTCTTCCTTTTAGGCATTTTAGCTGTGCCTCGCGTCTCCTTGTTTTGTTTGAAGGATTATCAGCAGCTTAATTAGTTTCTCTTTCCTCCCCGGCTTCCACAGATATAGTTTAAAATAGTTTGAAATAATAGCTGATAAAATGCTAGTATGCAATAATACATATATTTAAAACATTAGATAAAACGTAAAAACAGACCGCGGAGTTTAACTACACAGCCGTCCTCCGAATCCTATAGTGGGTTGATGTGCTCTCCTGAAGGTGCAGTAGATCATGTTCTAATACTCAGTTGCCATTATATTAAGAACAGCCATTGTCCATATTAAGCATCCCCTTAAAACAGATAAAATTTCTGTTTGCATTGTTGAAAGGTGATTACAATTCTACAAAATGTATTGTTGAGTCATTTAGGTACTGCTAGAATCTGCATCTAAAGTTGTGATCAGTAATGGCATAGATGTGAAGTAACATGATTTAAATAAATATTCAATCTTTATAACATTGTGAGGAGGACAAAAGACTAAGATTGAGATAGATGATCATCAGAATCAATGCACATGTTAGCACAGCTGGGATCCTTAGGGAGGTCAAGCGGAACTCTGTAGATCTGTCCTCTGTGTTTTTCCTCAATATTTGTGGCTGTGATGTTGTTTTTGTTGCTTTATCGTAGATAATGGGAAAGATCTTTGTATCAATCACCATAATTTTTGTTTGTATTTTGCATTTTCCCAGAATTGAGACTCAAGAATACTTACAGTTGAAAACAAAAACAATGTAGCTAAAATATACAAATGTCAATGCTAAAATAGGATTAAATGAATTGCAATCTTGAGACAACTGAAAATCTACAGCTAAGATGTTTTTTCAAAAACTATTTGAATTGTTTACTAAGGATCTAGAATTACCTCAAACCCTTTCTTTAAATTCTAAAGGATGTTTTTAAAGTTCTGCAAAGCCTGTTGAGATAAAAACAGGCTTCAAAGGGGTGGGAGAGGCCTCTTGTCCTCTCTTGGAAGAGAGTTCGAGAGCCTAAGAACTCTCTTTCCAAGCACAAAGCCAAATGAGATACCTTAAATCAGTAGAAAAATATGGTTGTTTTTCAGCTCGCACTGGTGAATCCCCATCAGATTCATGTTCACTTTTTCTAGATGATGGTCGAATTGCATCGTCTGCGGCGGAGAGAGCAGAAGCCGGACAAGGGGACCAGCAGTCACTGAATTCGAATTGGTCAAGTCCGCAACATAGTTTGAGGTCGCAGTCGCTAAGGTCATCACCTGTGGCTTACAAAAAGTCTCAGACATCTGGAGACTTGCAGAGAAGGTCTTCTGCATCTTTAGGTAAGAGACTCTGTTTGAGAAATTGTAGCCTTTTTATTCTACCTGGTCAATTGTGAAAACTTCCTCCAAACACATAGACCAGGAGATACTTTTAGGGAGGCCTGGAATTCTTGCTTGGAATGTAAAATTGCCATCCTGTTTTTGACTCTTAAGAAAATAGGGCTTTTATTATTATTGATTTCTGAGCAAACAGGAACTCTGGCATGTTTCCTCATGTTTAATTTTGTTACCCAAGCTAGATTTTCTAACAATATATGTCCATTCCCTTCTTTGAGTAGAATGGCGAAAGGTGAGAATTAAGACTGGCCGAAAAGAAGCACTGATCCCCTTACTTTCTGCACCGTGTTCCCACTTCTGGCCTTTTTGAATGGCTGGGTGGAAAAACAGTGGCCAGAAGTAACTTGCTGCCTTATCTGGCAATGGTGCTTTCCCTGTTTTTGTGGCATGATCCTTGACTTATCCACAGGTCACATAAAATCTGTAATTTCAGCCTCTAAATCTTCCTTGAGTTAGACATCAGGTCAGCTCATACCCTAGTCCAGGGATCCTCAAACTTTTTAAACAGAGGGCCAGGTCACAGTCCCTCAAACTGTTGGAAGGCCGGATTGGAATTTGAAAAAGAAAAAAAAAAAGAATTTCTATGCACACTGCACATATCTTATTTGTAGTGCAAAAAACACTTAAAATAATACAATAATTAAACGAAGAACAATTTTAACAAATATAAACTTATTAGTAATTCAATGGGAAGCGTGGGCCTGCTTTTAGCTGATGAAAAAGGATTGCTGTTGTTGTTGTTGTTGTATGCTTTCAAGTCATTTCAGACTTAGGTTGACCCTGAGCGAGGGCTGGGTAAATGACCTTGGAGGGCTGTATCAGGCCCTCGGGTCTTAGTTTGAGGACCCCTGCACTAGTCTATAATGTAACCACTGGGAAAACCTGTGGTTTCAATCTAAAGCTACAAAGGATTACATAGCTGACCTAAGTCACTTGTGTTTGTGCTTTTAATGTGACCACACAAAGACCTAGATCCTTGATGCTGCTTCAGTTGCAACTGAATATATATATTAATATGCGGGATTCAGCTGTCATTGCATGGGCCCACACAAGATATTAGCCTATTAAAATCCAACACCTGTGATGAGGTCTTCCTCTTTTTCTGCTATCTTAGATTTTGACAAATATTATCCTCTTTCCTAATGAGTCCAAAATATGATAAACTCAGTGTTGTTGCTTTGGCTTCCAGGCTTGGTTTTCTTTCAGACCAATTTATTTGTCTTTATTTATTTGCTTCCCTTTTCTGAAATAGAGATGGGAAGCCTCTTCAATCTAATGTGAATGAGGCCAGGAAATAATTTTATTGATATTAGCCTTGGAATGCTATCATGCTGAAGTAATTAGCTTTTCCATGCATTCCATGATTCACCTGAGGCACATAGGTGAAAATACTTGGCGGGGGGGGGGGGGGAGCACAGCAAATGGTTCTCTAATAACAAATAGTAGACCACTGGAGGGCACTCCTGTCTCTTAGAAACATGTGCTTCTGTTCCCTRTCTAATGAAGATAAACTTTCAGTACAGATATATTCAATGAATTAGTTTCTTTTATGTGCATAGTCCTAGACTGAATTTACAAAATGGGAATAGGTATCTAAATAAGGGAAATAGTTACAGTGACTCTACTAGGTTTTGTTTCTAGGAACACCAATGAGATACTAAAATCCCTGGATGGTTAAGTCCCATGATATACAGTGGTGTGACTTTCTTGACAATAGTTGTTCATGAAAAAATGTATTTCCCCCTCGTTCGTCAAGTTAATTTTATATACATTGTGTAAACTATATGTTAAGATAGATCTTGTTAAATAGACCTTTCAGATTTGTGAAAAATTCATCCTGCTGTTTTTGTGTGATGTCATATCAAAGAGACATAAACTTTGTTTTATTTATATAGATGCTAAAAACGATGAATATAAAAACTAGTTGTTGATGTATTTTCCTTTTACAGGCCTTATGACCCTGCTTTGCGTAGATGCATATGTATGCATTATAGACAGATGCATTCAGTAAGAGTTAAAAATTAATGCTACGTTTAAATGTATGGAGTTGGATTGGTTTTTTAAAAACCAAGACACATAGGATGATATGGGGAAAAAACTTTTTAGAGTTCTGTCTTGTTTGCTTTTGTGGCCAAGTGAGATTTGCGTGGTTCTGAGCTTGAGTGTCAAAATGCCTGTGCCAGATTTACTTGAATGTAATACACACCTTTTTTGACCAAATTACAATACAAATATCAGGGTGCGTACTCATTAGGCTTGGGCCCAGATCAGTTTGACTGAAAGTGATTTATAATATTCAGTGGTCCTTTTTGTGTAATCCCCTGAAAACAGAACGAGGAGGAGAGAACTGAACAGCTGGACAAAACAGATCAAGAGAGCCGGATTTATTGGCTACTGGAGAGGATGGAACTGCATTATACCTGAAACAGGGGTCTGCTGCGGGGCTTCTGGAGAAGATCCTGTCGTGTATTTTCTCCCTCCCTGGGAGTGAAGTGTCCATTTCTTTTGGAATTGGAAAAGTTCCCTATGCTCTTCCTCCAGAGAGGGCCCTGCTGGGAACTCTCTTTCCCAGCAGCACTTGCATGGGGCGGGCATTGATGAGAGTTTCTCTCTTTCTATTTCGCAGCCAGTAAAAGGCCTGGTTGTGTTCATGCTCTGAATGGCTGAGAATGGACACAACTGGCAACTACAATTCCCAGAAATATCTCTTTTGGTTTATCTTATTTTTTAAATAAAATATGGTAAAAATTAAAGATAATGTTTTAAAAAATCAGTAGATTGGTGAATTTTTTTTGAAATTTGGCAGGCATGCAGTACATGGGGTCTAAAACTGAAATGGGTTTCATGCAGATAGGCTTTAAAATGATTGAGGATTCAGCCTTTAAAGTTTCGCATTGCAGCCAATGGGCAGAATCTTTGTCAAATGAAAATGGCAACTCTCCTCCTAATTCGAGTAACTTCCCGGTAAACAGAATAAGAGGTTATTGCTTGTTGTTTTTATTGATGTGTTGTTGGGCTTGGCCTCATGTAAGCCGCTTCGAGTCCCCTTGGGGAGTTGGTGGCAGGGTATAAATAAAGATTATTATTATTATTATTATTATTATTATTATTATTATTATTATTATTATTGGCTGAAAATGGATCCCAAAATGACATAGCATTTGGCCAAATTGTACAAGCCTAGTACTCATCATATGGTAATTGTAGTCCTCTGTGTGAAGGACAACAACACTTTGGGGATGTTCAGCTTGGAAAGCGAAACGGTCAGACATGAGGAAAGAGGGAGGAGGAGGAGGAAGGGCCAAGTAGTGCCTTGTGAACCCAAGGGCAGCAGGTGCCATGCTGTTTGGAAGCCTGTCTGGCGTCCTGTGCTCCAATGCTGACCCACTGAGCCAAAGCACAAGGGAAGGTGCTTCGGGAGTAGCTGTTACTCACTACTACTTTGCCACTAGCCCCAGCCTTCTCAGAGGAATCACTTGGATTAATTTCTTATATGAAGGGCATAAAAGCATGGGCAAAGCTGAGGAGAGGAATTTGGAGATGGGAAAAAAGCCTGGCTCTGGGATTGTGAGCTTGAGACCAGTGGCAGCAGGTACTGAGCTCAATCTCACAAGGACAGATACACATCTTTGACTTGCCTCCATCCCAGGCATCATTTGGACCCCCCCCCCCCAAAATTCCATATTAATGAGCCATGGTAATTAAAGTGGTGCATTCATTCTACAGTGTAGATGCATCCCAAGAATTTGAGGTACCTTGAGGGAAGGGTTACCTATTTCTCTGATTTTCTGTTACATCACTGGAAGTTTCGGTGTTCTAATGCTTTAATTTTTAAAGAACGAATTGTAAGTGAGCAGCAAGTATAATGCACTCCACTTTTTACTAAATTACAAAGGTTGTACTTTGTTACTGCTGCACATTAAAATTGTTGTTTCTATTCGATGTTTGATGTTTTGTCTTATGTCTGTTATAACAGACTGAGTGTTTATTTGAATTTAGTTAAGTTATAATTCGTATTTATATGTTGGGTTGTTTACATTTTGTTAGTATGGATATATTGTTGTATTCGGGCATTGAATGTTTGCCTTTTATGTCTGGGATCCGCCCTGAGTCCCTTTAGGGAGACAGAGAGGAATATAAATAAATTATTATTATTATTATTATTATTATTATTATTATTATTATTATTATTTGAAACACAACAAGGTGAGTCCACAGCAGACACTCTGCTGGCTGTTGAATTGGATGACACGTCAGACACTTCCCAAGTGTCTAGGACTGTGTGATGTATTGGGAAAAATGTGTGCAGATCCCAGTAAGGTGGCCTTCAGCATCTGGCAGATGGTAATTTTGTCAGCGCCGATTGTGTTTAAGTGCAGGCCAAGGTCTTTAGGCACTGCACCCAGTGTGCCGATTACCACTGGGACCACCTTGACTGGCTTGTGCCAGAGTCTTTACAGTTCGATCTTTAAATCCTCATATTGTGTCAGCTTTTCCAGTTGTTTCTCTGCAATCCTGCTGTCACCTGGGACTGCGACATCGACGATCCATATTTTGTTTTTTAACATGATTGTGAGGTCAGGAGTATTGTGCTCCAACACTCTGTCTGAATCCGGAAGTCCCAGGGATTTGCGTGTTCATTCTCTGTAACTCTTTCCAGCTTGTGATCTCACAGTTCTTTGTTGCAGACAGATGGTATTGTGGCACAAGTTCCAATGAATCATCTGAGCAATGGTGTTATGCCTCTGCTTGTAGTCTGTCTGTGCAATCTTCTTGCAGCAGCTGAGGATGTGATCTATTGTTTCATCTGCTTCCTTGCAGAGTCTACATTTGGGATCTGTCGTCGACTTTTCAATTCTGGCTTTGATGGCATTGGTTCTAATGGCTTGTTCTTGGGCTGCCAGAATCAGGCCCTCCGTCTCCTTTTTCAAAGTTCCATTTGTGAGCCACAGCCATGTTTTTTCTTTGTCAATTTGGCTCTCAATTTTCCCCAGGAACTGTTGTTGTTATTATTATTATATTACATTTACCAGCAAATACTGTTTTTGGTTTCAAGGTTTTGAAAATTGAGGTGTACATTGGATTTGGTTGAAAAATGGGTTTCTGCATGGGGTGGGGTCAGATGGAGGCGCTGAAGGACAAGCTCTCTCATGCATATCTTAATTTTAGCAGATTCATGAAAGCTTACATAAGGTATGGGGCTTACTGCCTCTGTCCTGTTGATTTTGGGCCGAGTGCACATTCTTTCATGCTGTGTGAGTTCATAATGAGAACATTGTTTTTATTGGTAGGCCGGTTGTACTTTTTGTTGCTCAGTGTCTCCATGGCTAGTGCTCTGGCTGTATAGTCCAAATTAATCTTAAAATTTGAAGTATAAATTGGATTGCTATTTCTTTACAAATCTGTAAAGGAGTCTCATTATGGCGAATAGTAGCTACAGATGCTTATGGAGGATCTTCTGTACTTCATGCAGGCTGGGAAGCATGGGAAACATAGAAATGTTATCTGTTTTTGTTTCTTGTTCACTCCTCTTGCTCCCTGAGAATCAAAGAGAGGCTGATTTTTCACAATTAATGTTCAAATGTGGTTAAGTGACTTTACTTAAAAGCAATGATGAGATTTAAATGTCTATATCTAATTATGTCACTGTGCTGCAACGAGGCTTATTGCAGTAGCGGCTATATGTTTTCAAAATTAGGATAAAGATGGTGACTAGAACACTTCTAACTATGCAATAGGATGTGCAAGTGATTGTAGAATCTGTGATACACCATGTGAGTGTACAACATCTTACGCAAAAGTGGAATCCAGAGCAACAGTGCTAGCTGTACTTCTGTTTTCCTCTGCAGTCCTTTTCGAAATGACCACTGGTAATCATGTGATGCTACTGGCTGGTGCCATTTTGACAAGGTGTGTGTAAGAAAGCAGTTATTTGGGAATAGTATAGTATGATGATACTAGTGGGGGTTAGATGTGGTATTTCTGCGTGTTTTCATTTATTCAGGGACATTGAGTATGATGTAAAGGACAAATGTTATTAAAAATTAGGGGATTAGGGAAGTTTGAGAATCTACACAGCTGACACTTCTGATTTAGACTGGTATTTTTAGGTTCAGCATTCAATTTCTAGTGAAATATACCTATTGTTCTTAAAAGTTTCTCATTAATATCATATGTAAATATACTGACACATTCAAGTTCCCATTTTGGAAATGTTGATGAGGGTGATTACTCATTTATACTCTGCTTTTACTCATTTATACTCTGCTTTTCTCCCAAAACCTGTGCCTATAAAAGACAAAAATACAGGATGTAGAAGCAATTGACAAAAATTTAAAGAAAGGCGGATAAGTTTATATTCCTTAACAAAATCATGTTGCTTCTGTCAAAATAACAATCCATTTGCACAGCCTACTCTGCCAAATGTGCATAGATACAGCCGGATACACTTGTTGGAACATCTCCGTAATCACTTGTTGGGACATCTCCGTAATCACCAACTATTTGTCCTTAATATACTGTTATTCATAAATTCAACTCTCTGATGGAGAACCTTCAAAGGTACCTTTCCATCAGATGGTTCATGATGGTGGCATTTCATTTGTAAGATGTTCTTCTAATAAATATTTGTCTCCTAACATATGGTAATTTCAGCATTTGGAAAAACTTCTTTGTTTTTACAGTTTGTTCTATATAAAAGTTTTAACTTTTCTATTTTATCCAGCTTTTTATTGATGATCTTTGGTTAGCACTTACGCTTTAACTACATTTAAATGTAAGTGTAAGTAAGTATGTTGTAAACTACTCTGGAATGAAAGGTGGTTTAAAAAATCTGAAATAAAATAAATAACCGGGTTTGTTATTTGAGCCCCCAGTGGCGCAATGGGTTAGGCCCTTGTGCTGGCAGGACTGCTGACAGAAAAGTTGGCAGTTTGAATCCGAGAAGTAGAGTGAGCTCCTGTCTGTCAGCTCCAGCTTCTCATGCAGGGACATTAGAGAAGCCTCCCATAGGAGGTAAAACATCTGGGTGTCTCCTTGGCAACGTCCTTGCAGATGGCCAATTATCTCACACCAGAAGCTACTTGCAGTTTCTCAAGTCGCTCCTGACACACACACACACGCACAATTTGAAACAATCCTAAATGGGACATTACTTCATAGCGTGAGTATACCTGGAACCCCAGGCCTGTTTAGAGTGCCCCCAAAATCTTAGGAAAGAGTGACATGGCGAAATTTTATGTTTTATAATATCTCATTTTAGTAGTACATTTCCCTTGGGCTTATGAAAAGGGTCATGTGGCTCAATCAGTCAATCCCTACAGGAAAACAGAGCTTGGCCCAGAAGCCACAAGCTTACAAAGGCAAACTCTGTTTCTCATCCCTGCCAATCTGGGAGCCTGGCTGTTTGCTCGCTCGCCTCTTGTTCAGGCAGCCAGCATTCCTGCTGACATCAGCTCTGTTCGAAACAGAACATACACAGGGGCCATGTTTGTTTCTCATCTACAAAAAAGAGCAAAATAAAATACGTGGCCGATGGAGAGCGAGGAAGTGGGTAAGAAACACGCTCACTTTTTCAAAAATACTATAGACAAGCATCCCTTTGAAAATGGATGCTGGAAGGAGAGTGAGATGGCGAAACTTTGAGTTTCCAGAGCATTCGAATGGAAAGCCTAGGCGAGGAATTTTGTAACATTTACAAACTCTTTTTCTCCATACAAACCTAAATATTTCTTTATTGTAGGTGAATTGTGGTCTTTTTATACTATTGCATTTGTAGCGTGTTTGCTTGGTTTAATATAATGAATTTTTATGCAATGCTTATGCATTCTTTATTGAATTGCATACTGAATCTGTTGTGTGCAAATCTTCTGGAAGTTCACTAGTTGCAGAAATTGAACAACTGGCTCTGGAATCTGGACCGACTTCAAAAAAGTTAATGTTTTCATCTTATGACTATAACCAATTGTGAAAGTCCTTGTAAAGTTCATGGAAACTTCATACTGAGGCTGAATGTTGTTGCGAATGATTACAGTTTTCTCAGATGACTTTGGTTTGATATGTGTGTTTATATTCTTCTTCTAGCATAGATTTCCAAATATCTGATTCCTCCCAGCACTACTTTTTGGTGTTTTAAAGCTCACCCCCATCCCCCAGTCATTTAGCAGTTTGCCTACAGGTTTTATAAATTCTGAATTTTTAGCATTTCTTGAATGCTATTGTAGGAACATTTAGCAAGCTTTCCAGTTGCGACGGTAGTGTGATATCTTTGGAATTTCTATTATTTGTATCCAACCTGATGGACCTGTCTCTGCAAACATATTATGTCTTTCTTCTGTGCATACTCTTAATTTTTCATTTTTCTCTGTCTTAATGGTTGTACTGTGTTTGGAGCAGGGATGAGCAGACTTCAGGGTAGCAGTGAGCCCCTTTTGATTTATTTGTTTTTGTTGTCATTACTAGAACATCAGGATCCATCAACCAGAGGTTGATGGAATAGATTCACACTTAGAAGTAAACAGTTACTGCATTGGATTTTGAATAAATTGCCTATACAGTACTCCTGCACAAAAGCCAGCTTTTGTGCTATTCAACAGTATAATTCATGGTGGGATGTGTGCCATTTTGTTGTTGTTGCTGGTAAACAATTACGAGTCAGAATCCTTGCTGATCTGTTGGCATCAACAGGTTCCAGACCTATGTTTCCCCCATTAATACTTTTAAATAATCTGCTTCATATTACCCAAGAGACAAAAGAAAAGCAATTTCCTGTGTCTTTTTACATGGCTGCACCATGTTTGCTGACTTAATTGTCCTCTGCCAAAAGATCATTTGCTTTCCCCCGTACCAGTTGGCTACTTGAAGGTATTTTGGACTTGGTTTTAGTGGCCAAGGTATATTTGAATATTGAATTTTCTGACTTGGATGTTGAGAAATGTTAAGCGTTCTGTGTCACTTAACATAACTGTAATTGATACGCACTTATTTCCAGTTATTAGCATTAGCCCTTAAAGGTAAAACTGGAAAGCACTGATTTGGCATTACTTAATACAACAAGGGCTGCATTTTTGAACCAACGGCTTTACATACTCTCAGTTGATCGAAACTCAAGCAACCTGAAATTTCAAGCAATCTGTAAAAATATTTACGGTAACTAAAATTGCATACTGTATTCACAAAGCTGGTTTTATAATACAGTAACATTATGTTGCATGAAGTTAAGTTTGCATTTGTCTTAATTTACTTTTAATTACTTTTAATTATGGTATTTTAATATCAAGTCAATACAGAATTTATATTATAGTGTAGGCTATAATTTTTATTAGGCCTGTTTTTCGCAGTAACCTTCAAACAACCAAAACATATATTTACTTGGCATCAACTGATCACTTTGTGTACTGGTTAACTGAGAGTCTACTGTAGTCATATTGTAGTGGGCCACACTGTTAACAAAATAATGTTTTCAACTGAATTGAAAGGCTTCTGAATCTTGGAATAATTTATGGTTTTATCCAAATAAGTTAGTTTGCAACCAAACCTTGTTCTGGAAAATAAATGTTTTAGCATCATTGAAAAGATCCAGTGATTTATATTGTATAGACTTGGTATTTGTGCATTTTAGAAGTACTAAACACTCAAGTTGTATATGCTGTGTTCTAAATAATTTTTCATAAATGGCACAAAAATATATTTGTTTCAAATGGCGACTACTGAATTTTGATTTCAGAGAATAGAAGAAAAGAACCCCCTCTCAGTGGGCATGATCCTCGGACGGCTGTTCAACTTAGGAGCCTCAGTACCGTCTTAAAGCGCCTCAAAGAAATCATGGAAGGCAAAAGCCAGGTATTTCTTGTGTGTTTCTTTTCAAATAATTATTCTGAAATGCCTATCTTTGAAGTAACATTTTCCATGAGAATCTGTACAGTGTTTAGAATAGGTCAGGTAGACTAAAAGTGATGTGATTTGGAGTTAACAACATCAGATGTGGCAAGGAGAGGTCCTAGTTCTCCAGACCTGCTATTAGTTTCAAAAGTTTACCTCCCAGCATAAACACTTAGGAAGCATAGTTAGTGGTAAACAAAGTAATTTTTCAATGTTTTCCAGTTGTGTGAGAATTATCTCATTCTGCTTCTGCATAATTTCATTGTATAGTTTTTTTCTCTCTCTCTCTAATGGGAAGGAAGGAACCTTCATAGTTAAGGGAGACTGATGGAGGAATAACTTGTGATTCACATTTGTATTTTCTTGTTGGCAGTAGGTAAATAAATATATCATGCCTGTGTGTGTGGGAAAATACGTTTGCACGTTTCAGGATGGAGCTTCCATTGAGCTAAGGAGTCCTTTGATTATGCTATTATCAAAAATGTTTATACTAGATTATGCTATTATCAAAAATGTTTATACTATACTCTCAGGTAACTTTCACAGGTGTTATCAAATCCTATTGGATGGATGGCTTGTTGTCTGCAGGATTAAACTTTTAATTTGCCACCTACGAGTGTTCCGCTGGGCAATTGGATCAAGAAGGACTTGGTCCAGGAAATCCAATTTAGCCTGTGAATGAGCAAATGTAATCTAATTATGACCTTGTCACATCTCATATTATTGTTTAGCTCCAGAGATAGGAATATCCTGTGAAATCCTCTCTCGTGTTATGACTTGATTGTACTTCACTTCTTCCATAGGACAGTGACCTGAAGCAGTATTGGATGCCAGACAGCCAGTGTAAGGAGTGTTATGACTGCAGTGAGAAGTTTACCACCTTTAGGCGTAGGCACCACTGCCGGTTATGTGGGCAGATCTTCTGCAGCCGATGCTGCAACCAGGAAATCCCAGGAAAATTCATGGGGTACACAGGTAAAGTACACTTTGTTTGAACATTCAACCCTGTTAAGGAAAAGAGGGGCAAATTTACTTTGCTTGAAGTAGGCAGGTTTGAGCACATCTTTTTTTGCACTTGCAGGTGACCTCAGAGCTTGCACATACTGTCGCAAAATAGCCTTAAGCTATGCTCACTCCACAGATGGTAACTCCATTGGGGAAGATTTGAATGCTCTGTCCGATTCTGCTAGTTGTGTATCGGTGCTGGATCCTGGGGAACCACGGACACCTGTTGGCAGCAGAAAAGCTAGTCGTAATATCTTCCTGGAAGAAGACCTTGCCTGGCAAAGGTATACATTAAGATTTATATTTTACCTTTCAACCACTGGCTTAATTTTATTAAGTGTTTGCAAAATGTGTTGTTCAACTAGCCTTGCAGCTGTTTCACAACCAGTGAGAAAAATGTCACTTGTTGATTCAGCATATGCCTATCAGCTGTGTATGTGCCATGGTTTTTGCCAATAAAGATGGGGAATCTTGGGTTTGTGGACAAGATCCAGCCTCCAGAGATTCCTCATCCACCCCCACAAGCTTCTTCTTCATGCTCTGCCTTTCTCCCTCCAAATACTCTGCAGAACACTCTGCTACTAACATTTAGCTCAGGGCTGGGCCACTGTGGCAGAACTAGTGACCATTTGTATGCTCTGGACTCTGCTGGACTTCTTCTGGCTCGCAGGCCAAGAAATCCCATGGTCCACTTCCTCATTTACATTAGGAGCAGGCCTAATCATGGGCTGAATTACAACAGGCCATAAAATAGTCACCAGGGATTCTGGAGGTGTTGAGGACTGCAAAAATAAGAGTTGTAATACATACTAAAGACATACATGGGTGGGTGTGCTGCATTACCTCCTCTCCTCCTCTGTCCCTTCAGCTTTAATGGATAGGGCAGGTATGTAATGAAAGGTTCACCAAGATATTGATGTGTGGGCTCCTGAATAAAGTCTTTGTGTGTGATGGGTCAGGCTGCGATGTGAAAATGCTGGAGCTGACTGTCCTCCTATGTTTGCAATGTTTGCACTCTTGAAGCAAACATTGAAGTCAGTCATCTGTGATACACAGTAGTGGAGATTTTATCTGTCTCCAGAGAGATTAATCCTTCCCCATTTTTTGAATTTCTAAAAAATACAGCTCCCTCTGATGGTTCGAAATAGGAAAATTAATTGATTCAGTCCAACATAAATTGGTCAAAGTACTAGAGATAAGGAGACTCAGCCCTAGTTAGTATTTAGATGGGAGACAACCCATGAATACAAAATACTGGAGGTTACATCTCAAAAAAAGTAAAATCACCTCTGAGGATTCCTTGCTAAGAAAACTCTATGAAATTCATGAGATCACTATAAGTAAAAAGGTAGCTTATTTATTATTTATTTTATTTCATTTACTTATACCCCGCCCTTCTCACCCCGAGGGGGACTCAGGGCGGCTTACAGAGAAGGCAGAATTAAATGCCTAAATCAATTGACAAAATATAAATACAACAAAAACAATTCAACAGTTAAAGTTAAAACATCAGTACATAATAAAATATTAAAACAATCTCATGCTCGGGTTCAGAGTCCATATAACCATTCCATTCCATTTGTCGTTGTCTGTCGTCAGATCCTTAATTTAGCTGCCAGTGTGTCCAAAGGCTTGGTCCCAGACCCAGGTCTTCAGTTGTTTCCTGAATGCCAGGAGGGAGGTCGCCGATCTAATCTCCCCGGGGAGTGAGTTCCACAGGTGGGGGGCCACCACTGAGAAGGCCCTGCTCCTCGTCCCCGCCAACCTCACTTGTGAGAGTGGCGGGGTCGAGAGCAGTGCCTCCCCAGAAGATCTTAGGCTTCGAGGTGGGATGTAGCGGGAGATACGTTCGGACAAATACACTGGGCCGGAGCCGTATAGGGTTTTATAGGTCAAAACCAGCACTTTGAATTGTGCTCGGAATTGGATCGGCAGCCAGTGGAGCTGGCGCAACAGGGGGGTGGTATGCTCCCTGTACGCCGCTCCGGTGAGCAATCTGGCTGCTTCTCGCTGGACTAATTGAAGTTTCCGAGCAGTCTTCAAAGGCAACCCCACGTAGAGTGCGTTGCAGTAATCCAACCGGGATGTGACAAGAGCGTGGACCACCGTGGCCAGATCAGACTTCCCAAGGTACTGGCGCAGCTGGCGCACAAGTTTTAATTGTGCGAAAGCTCTCCCGGCCACCGCTGAGACCTGGGGTCCAGGCTCAGCGATGAGTCCAGGATCACTCCCAAGCTGCGAACCTGCGTCTTCAGGGGGAGTGTAACCCCGTCTAACACAGGCTGTAACCCTATACCCTGTTCGGCCTTGCGACTGACCAGTAGGACCTCTGTCTTGTCTGGATTCAAGCTTAATGGTGTGTGTGTGCACACACACTGTGTTTTCTAGATATACCTATCATTGTGCATTGCTTAGCCAAAACAAGTGATTCTATGATTCTGTGAAGTAGAAGGGAGTGGTACAGATGTCTTACCAAACCAGACAGTGTTACTCTTCTCAAGCACAACGAGCAACAGATTTCTTGGAGATATTTTGATAAAGAGCATCTCCTAGTCTTATTCCCACAAATAGGAGAAAGTCTGGTCACTATTGTGGCAAATCTGATATTTATATTCCTGGTTCTGTTCTGACAGAAATTGGATAATGTTTATAAAAAAATTAAAAATATTCCTGATCATTGCATTCAAATAATACCAATTGTTGGGATGTGGGGCAAAGAGTATCTCTTTCAGAAACTGGCATTTTGGACTTTCATGTTTCAAAGACATCTCAGGATGAAGAAAACATTTTTTGATCATGTTACCACTTGTCTCTTGCAGTAATCTTTAGGAATAACTTAAAAACATTCATGTCTTTGAAGATCAACCCCCTCTACTTTTTATAAATTTCAGATGACAACATTGGTCTGCATTAACATTGTAATTTTTTCTAACTGCTGTTCAAATATACCATCATTTCTTTGCAGTTTGATTCATCCAGACTCTTCATCCTCCACTTTGTCAACACGTCTTGGCTCAGTTCAAGAGGAAGCAGGAAAATCGCCTGCACGGAATAGGTGAGTGATTCAGACACATCTTTGCTTGAAGTGGTGCCTGTAACAATTGTGGTATGCTCCTGGCCCTTGCTGAATTGAGAATGTAAATCTGACCAGGTCTTAGAATGGCATGGATTTTCTGTTGAAACATAATTCCCCTTGATAATGTTGTTAAATCAGGTTGATATTTGTGTGTGATCACCAAAGAGATTGCAAACCTCTTGTAGGTCATCAGATCGAGAGCAAACACAGCATGAGGTGCAGGATTCAGATTCATTGCTGAGTAGGATGATGTTCGAGGTATTGTTGATGTGAAATTTCTTATGTTGAAGATAGAAGGAGTTGCACTGAATAATATTGCAAATTATAAGATTGATTTTCAAAATCACTGGTAACTTGGTGAGAAAGTCTGAGAAGAGCAGACTTGAGCTAATTCCTAGTAGGTAGTGCATATAATGAGAATGGAGTTCATAGTAAAAGTACTTCATTAGCTGAGCTCCAAGTATGTGTGTGTGTGTGTGTGTGTGTATGTATGTATGTGTGTGTGTGTGTGTGTGTGTGTGTGTGTATATATATATATATATATATATATATATATATATGCGATGAATTTCACTGACAACTTTTCAGTACATTGTTTTATTTTATTAATTCAAAAATACTTGGGTATTTAGCAATTTTAATGATAGTCCTTGCACAGATTTAAGTAGTTTGATACTTTTCCAATAGCAGTCCAGGGAAGGCAAGCATGGCAATATGAAAAATATTTAAAGCAGTTGTTTGTTGTAATATTTGTCAGTTATTATGTGATGGAAAATGCTTCTGGAAGGTCTTGTTTTTAGTGATGAGTGTTTTGTCAGCCACATATATACTTTTAAAAATAACAATCATGACTTGGCACTGAAATTGGTCAGAAGGGCATGTTAGGAAGAAAGATAGAGGGAGGGAAGTATATTAATGAATACATAGAGAACAGGCTTGATCAATGGCTCATTGACAGCTCAATGGATCCTGTGTCTTTCAAAGACAGGAGGCCATCCAATGCCTGAGGGAAGGATGGAAGCTTTCAGTTGCTTCTTTTAGGCTTTGGAAAAAGATGTGATAGGTTTGAGAAACTAGGTTCTGGGCTAGTAAGACTGTTTTTGCCATATTTTTATTGAGATTTATTCAAAATACAAAACGAACGAATATCTAGAAACAAAAAGAAGAATGACGGAGAGAAAGAAAAGTAAGAGATAAGAAGACATATACATAAGGCAATAGTGGCTTCTGACTTTCTTTTTAGCAATATAAATAAAATGTAATGTTTGTTTGTGGGATTAACATAACTCAAAAACCACTGGACGAATTGACACCAAGTTTGGACACAATACACCTATCAGGTCAACGAGTGATCATCACTAAATGTCCTGCTCCTAATTTTATCTCATTACAGCCTTTTAATAGTTTTATCCTGTATATGTGGCCCACCCATTGTTATCGTTATTGTGATTGTGTTTAGAATGTTATCCTATGACTGCGTTTTAAAAAAATGTATTTTGATGATATTGTTGTTGTTTCTGTTAATGCTTTGATTTTATTGCTGTAATATGTTGTCTGGGCTTGGCTACATGTAAGCTGCTCCGAGTCCCCACTGGGGAGATGGTGGCGGGGTATAAACAAAGTTGATTATTATTATTATTATTATTATTATTATTATTATTATTATTATTATCATCACTCATAAAACACTGAAAAACACAGCAAAAGGCAAAAAAAAAAGCATTACAATGCTTGCACAAAACCACATATATACAAGCAAACACACATATACACATACAAACACACAAAACACATATACACAGACTGGGCCACAGCAACATGTGGCAAGGGACAGCTAGTATCTAATATATTCGTACCTCTCTTTCTAAAACACTTTTCCAATTGTTTATCCATGAGAATGTTCTGCTTCTAACTGCAAATTAACCTTTAAGATCCTTAGCATCAAAATCTGTATTTGAACTCAGAATGTTATTTGCTATTTCACATGACCACCATGTATAATGAAAAGTTCTTTTCTGTTGTTCACTTTCCAACATCGTTCAAAACTTTCTTGTATATTCTTGTCAATTTCTCTGAAGTCATGTACCAGTTCTGTCTTAAGATAGTGTAAATGTCAATCCCTTTGATCCCATCTTTTATCATTGCTCCATCTGTTTATTATAGCCACAGTTTCAGCCCAAGCATGAGCAAGTTTCAGCCCTCCAGATGTTTTGGACTTCAACTCCCACAATTCCTGACAGCTGGTAGGCTGTTGGGAATTGTGGGAGTTGGAGTCCAAAACATCTGGAGTATTAAGGCTTGCCCATGTCTGTTTTAGCCCATTTTATCATACAACCTTTTACTTGGTCTTCCTCCAGGTCAGATTTTAATAAAAGTTGATACACAAAAGTTGTACACAATTTTACTTCATACCCTGATTTTTTCCTCTCAAAACTAGACCTTTGTTTGCTCATGTGTAAACAGGAAAAAACTTGGAAATTATATTCCTCTGCAAGTAGCTGCTTGCTTGGTTTAATTTTAATATTCTCCTTGGTAATGCTCCAAAAATCCTTTTACATTAAACATTTTTCTTTGCCTGTTCCTTCTCTTCTATAATGAGCTTCTTGTGCTTCAACCTGTAACAATAGTTTTGGGTACCGTCTGAATTTATACATATTCCATATTCTAGATAAGATGATTCATAGTCATTTGGGATAGGATATTAACAGCATGAGTCTAGAAGGCCTTAATATTTGCACAGCCAAGCCAGATATGTCATAGATCAAATCATTATCCACATAACTATAACAGAAAGTCCTTCAATACTTCACTTATAAATTCCCTGTGAAGTGAATGTTATAAAGTGAATGAACTATTTCTGAATAATTCAGGTGAAGGATCTTTTTTGCACCTTTTTTGCATAAATTATTGCTTTAACCTTATATTTGCCTTGATTATTGAAAGAAGAGATGACATTTTCTCAGAAAACCTAGACAATCCTGTAATCAAAAATATTTTGGCCATTTGGTGTTCTTAGAAAAAAAAATTGCCATGCAGATGTAATTATAGTTAAAAATAAACTTTCAGTGCATAAAGTATAATAAATAGAAATAGGAAGTATCCTAGAAATAAGTGGCTCCAGCATATGTGTTAAATAGATATTTAAACTAAGGTAATACAGTCCTAGGCTTTAAACATTTTGAAAAGAGCAGTTTAGAATGTATTAATATTAGATTCTAGTTTTGACTCTGTTTGATTTGGCTTAGCATATAAATCTGAATTAGGTCATGTTCTCTAATTATGGTATTCATACGTATAGCAGCTCTCAGAAGAGTCACAAGTATTTTTTGGAACTCATTACTTCTTTGTTTATAAGGAGAACACAGTGAAGTTAAATCTTAAAAGTAATGTGAATGGAAGGAATATAACATTCGGAAATTGCAGGGGATGACTAATATCCGGTAGTTATCCCTTAAAGTTACTTTAAGAGGGCACTTTAAGAATTTGTCAATTATGCTGTTTATAATGAGTTACTATCAAAACCAAGCAAACATTGACCATAACAAAATACTTGGATTTTTGCAAAATAAAACAGAACACGTTTATACTGTCCTTTTAAATAACAAAATTTGAAAAAAAAATCTGTTCCTGGTTTGAAAGTTTTATTTTTTTGTTTAATTGTGCAGTACTTACTTTGAAAGTAGTTGTTATACTCCAGAAACTTTGCTTTTGTGGCTACCACAATGCTCAATGAGATATTCATTGAAAAACTATGGCAAAATGTGCTGAAGGATGTCCTGCAAAAACCAAGCTTTGCAGTTTAATAATTTTTCAACGTTTTTATGATAGACCCAATAAGGAAATGACATTTATAACCCAGGAACAAAAATTGTTTTACATAGAGTAATAACAATCCAAGTTATTGTTTGTACTTGTAACCAAAGGAGGAATTAAGTGGCTTCTCCTCATCTATCTACATTTGGCCCTTTGCGTCCTAGAATATTTTCAGGTTTTAATCCTGAATGAAGAAGATAAACATTCGCATAAGGAAAAACTAGCTTAATAACATTGCCTTGCTTTTTGTAATGCTCCTTGTTTCCAGTTGCTGATTTTGAATACTGGTTATTATTGGTTTGGTGAGAAGGACACCAAGTTTCTCAGTGTTGTAAACTCAGACAGGTCCTGTTAAAGTTTAATTTCAAAGAGGAGGAGTGAGCTTAAGAAGGTAAGCATTGTTGGCTTTCTTCCTCCAGATCAGCCAGCATTACTAACCTGTCCTTGGATCGATCGGGGTCTCCGATGGTGCCTTCCTATGAAACATCTGTCAGTCCGCAGGCGAATCGCACCTACGTGAAGGAGGCCAATGAGGATGAGCGCAAAATTCTTCTGGTATACGTCGGGCCTTTGTTGTATCTTTTCTATTTCTGACAAAAATAAGTGGTACCTTACTTCCTTTTGTGGTACCCAATTTCTTAGGTTTGGATCTGTTCCTCCTGCCTTGAGTTTCTCTGGATGATTTATCTTTTTGGTCATTCATTGTATAACTTTGAAAAAAAGCTATTTCTAAGTGGATGCCTATCTTCTGAGGAAATATAACTTGCTTGTCTTGAATATAGAAGATTAACACTTGTCTTTTTAATTTTTCTTTAAGTAAGGCACAATCAATCATAGTCAAAACACAATACAATAAGGCCCTTCAAATACAGGTAGCTGTAGGTAGTTGACATTCTGTAAATCTGCACATGGGCCTTCAGCTGGGCCTTTTTCTTGTCTACTGAATGTGCTTCCCCTTCTTGGGCACATACTATATTTTATTTATCGTGTCAGGGGCAAACCAGACAGTTGCATTGCAAAATGTGTGAGTTTGGTAGTTGATTAAATGTCCTTTGACCAGTATCTGGCCACTTGGAGTGCTTCTGGTGTTGCTGCAAGAAGGTCCTCCATTGTGCATGTAGCAGGGCTCAGGTTGCATTGCAGCAGGTGGTCTGTAGCTTGTTCTTCTCCACACTCGCATGTCGTGGATTCCACTTTGTAGCCCCATTTCTTAAGGTTGGCTCTGCATCTCATGGTGCCAGAGCGCAGTCTGTTCAGTGCCTTCCAAGTTGCCCAGTTTTCTGTGTGCCCAGGAGGGAGTCTCTCATTTGGTATCAGCCATTGATTGAGGTTCTGGGTTTGAGCCTGCCACTTTTGGACTCTCGCTTGCTGAGGTGTTCCAGCGAGTGTCTCTGTAGATCTTAGAAAACTATTTCTTGATTTAAGTCATTGACGTGCTGGCTGATATCCAAACAGGGGATGAGCTGGGGATGTCACTGTCTTGGTCCTTTCACTATTGGCTGCTACTTCCGGCGGATGTCAGGTGGTGCAATACCGGCTAAGCAGTGTAATTTCTCCAGTGGTGTAGGGCGCAGACACCCCGTGATAATACAGCATGTCTCATTAAGAGCCACATCCACTGTTTTAGTGTGGTGAGATGTGTTCCACACTGGGCATGCATACTCAGCAGCAGAGTAGCATAGCGCAAGGGCAGATGTCTTCACTGTGTCTGGTTGTGATCCCCAGGTTGTGCCAGTCAACTTTCATATGATATTGTTTCTAGCACCTACTTTTTGCTTGATATTCAGGCAGTGCTTCTTGTAGGTCAGAGAATTGTGTAGAGTGACTCCCAGGTATTTGGGTGTGCTGCAATGCTCCAGTGGGATTCCTTCCCAGGTCATCCTCGGAGCTCGGGATGCTTGTCTGTTCTTAAGGTGGAAAGCACATGTCTGTGTTTTAGATGGATTAGGAATCATCTGGTTTCCCCTGCAATAGGCAGTAAGAGCACCTAGAGCTTCGAGAGCTTCTGTTCAACCATCTCAAAGCTCCCTGCTTGAGCGGTAATGGTACGATCATCTGCATAGATGAAACTCTCTGTCCCTTCTGGCAGTGGCTGGTCATTTGTGTAAATACTGTGAAGTGAAGAAGGTGGGATAAATAGAGAACAAGTAGAAGCCAGTGTTAAGTGCATCTAATATTCCTTAAATGTCAAAAGAAAACTTGCAAACATTGAAGGGTAAAGGGTACTCGACAGACAGCTAAGGAGGTGCATGCCATGTCCATGCACTATGCACTATAACTCTGGAGCTGGATAATGTTTTTTCCAGTGCTGAATGCTAAGAACACAAAATTTTGAGAACCTCTCTTCCTCAGGAAAGAAAGTTCACTAGTGGTGGAGGGAAGTGTGACATCTGCTGTAATTTTCCTATTTGTCATAAGCAGTTGCAATCTTAATGAAAAACGTTATTAGAATAATTTTCAAAATGAAGTATGAGTATCTGCACTTCCGTAAAAGTCTTAATGGTTTTATTATATCCAGAGGTTAGAGCGGGTGCTGTGAATCCCTTGCGACAGAGATAACTCTGTCTTCTTAAGACAAGGGAGAACACTTAAGCCCGGTGCTTAAGATCTGTGCTATCTCAGAATGTCATCACTTTGCCTTGTAGGACTCAGTCCAGCTAAAGGACCTCTGGAAGAAAATCTGCCACCACAACAGCGGGATGGAGTTCCAGGATCATCGTTATTGGTTGCGTACACATCCCAACTGCATTGTGGGAAAGGATCTCGTCAATTGGCTCATGAGGAATGGCCACATCACCACCAGGTAGCAGAGATCCATGTGTTCAGTCATTTTTTTACAGGTTGGGTTATTTATCTGAATTAGATAATATCTAGGAAAGGGATTGTTTTCTGGTAGTCTTTTTCCAACACTCCGCCATGCTTTTTAAAGAGTTGATAGTAACACTACGGAAAAGAATAAAATCTCCATATCCATACTTCAATTTATTTTTGATTTGAGGTGAGAGAGTGAAGAGCATTGGAACACACCGTCTTTAGACAAATAAACTTTCTGTGACTAACTTGCGATTCAAATATTTCTTATTTCCAGAGCTCAAGCTATTGCCATAGGACAGGCATTGGTAGATGGCCGTTGGCTGGATTGTGTGAGTCACCATGATCAGATCTTTAGAGATGAGTATGCACTCTACAGACCCCTGCAGGTATTGGCTTCATTTGCGGTCCTTTGGCACAAGCTTTCAGACTTGCTTTTTTGTAGTCTAGTAGCATTGGTTTGTGTCCGTCTAGATGTCTTAAAAACCAAATGACCCTGGTAGATTTCCTGAGTCCCACTACTTCACGGAGTATGTGTGTGCGCTTGTTTGAGAAGGTGTGCAAAATAAATTCCAGTTTCTGATAAGTCACTAATGGAAACTAATTTACTTAAGGTCAAGAGATGTAGCAAGAGAGCTGTGAAACCTTCAGTGAAAAGAAAGGTAGGCACCTCGCAGGTAACAATTGGTGGAGTGGGGGAGGGACCCACAAGGAAGTTTTTAGGAAGTTTTAAAAAATTAGATTTTAAGTGGTGGCATCAGGCATATCTCACTTCAGAGTTTCTTAAAACAGTTAGGCAATAGATAGTTTGTGTAAGATCATTTGGCCACAAAAAAATTCTCTTATTAGAAGTTTGTAATGGTTTTAAAGAAATGATATGCCTCTCAGAATATAATTACCCAATTTACCCAAATTCAAATGAACAGTCTTAGTGATTTGGCTGTTTCTTAATAAGTCAGTCTTTTTGGCAATAATGGCCTCTTTACTGCTAGGAGGAATTGGAGCGGTGAATGTGTAACAAGTACCTTTTCCATAGACAGAAGTATATGATAACATAATTTTGTTCTGTATGATCTTAGCCATTTGCTTATAGAAAACTTTATTAGTATTTACTCCTGTAGAAATGTTTTAATTTAAGATTCAGTGGGTTGATGCTTCAAACTATATAAAGGGCTGGGGGGAAGTAGAATGAAAATCAAGGTCCATAATACTCTCTTTGTGGAGAAAAAAGTGGGGTATAAATAAACATAATGATGAGCATAATAATAATAATAATAATAATAATAATAATAATAATAATAATATAATACATCACACAGTCTTAGATGCTTGGGAAGTGTTCGACTTGTGATTTTTGATACGAAATCCAGCATATAGATCTTGTTTGCTGTGACATACTGTGCTTTTGTGTCAGTAAAATAATAATAATAATAATAATAGAATTTCTCTGATATTTTTTAAAAGAAATGGTTGTAATATGATTAAATTAAAAATATTTCATGCGTTAATTTAATAATAATAATAATAATAATAATAATAATAATAATAATAAACTTTATTTATGCCCCGCCACCATCTCCCCCAATGGGGACTCTGAGCGGCTTACATGGGGCCAAGCCCGAACAACAAGTTACAATACAAAAATACAAATTGCAGTAAAATAAACAACATAACAATAAAGTATAAAACATCAAAGCATATAAACAATATACACAAAACATAGAACCCAAACATAATGACAGAGAGCGGGCCGCATGTACATAAAATGATTTAAAAACTCAGGGTGAGATAAAGGGGCAGAACTATTTGCAAGGGAGATCTTTACAATCATGATCTTTACAATCATGTATGGCCTTGGCTAAGGCTCTGGCTTAGGTAGTTAGCAGTTTGTACTATTTAGAGACCGCATTTCTTAGACCTGAAGTGAACAAATGTAGTTCAACCTCACTAGTTCTGGATGGCCACCATAGGTAGGTACTAAACTAATGCAGTACAGTGGATTTAAAAAGTGTTTCTTTCTGTTCTTTTCCTTGGTGTACATCGTTACCTAGGTGTAGTATTATCAAAAATGACAGGCTGTTTTACTTGAGGTCTTTTAAAGGGTGGCTTAGAAATGATAATGAGCTTTGTGTCAACAGAGTCGACTTTCTTTCCGCCTTAGTTGTACTTCAAGGATTGAATTAAACCACGTTGACTTAAGCAATGTTTTTATTGGTTGCTTTAGTAACATTTTTATGCAGAAAAATGGAAAAATACTATAAATAACGGATTTAGCTTTTCTGAGAGGAAAGCATGTGAATAGACATGCTTGAGGGCTGCTGAGGTGGGCAAGGATTAGGTTTTAGTATTATATATATATATATATTTTCTTTTCATTTCTGCCTATTTATTAGAAATGGAAGAAAGCCCCAATCTTGTATGTGTTTTTCATTTAAGAAAATGGTTTTCATTTCTGGAATTATGCAGATTGTAAATCATGTCAACCAAAAGAAAGTCAACTTGCTCAATTTGCATGAAAAAATAAGGTGACAGAATTTAATATAGAAGCTATAGAAAAGTGATTCTCAACTGTGGGTCCCTGGTGTTTTGTTCTACATCTCCCAGAAATCTCAGCCAGTTTACCAGGTGTTAGGATTTCTGGGAGTTTAAGGCCAAAACATATGGGGACCCACAGGTTGAGAACCACTGCTATAGAAGGTAGTATTCAGCTAGTTAAGGACATAAAAATATTCCTTGTCTTGATTGCGTATATTTGCAAAAATTATAAAAGGCAAAAAGCTAAAATTAGCTAAAATCAACAGAAGGGAATAAAGCATTTCATCATGTAAAACCAAACTAAAAGAAGCAGGACGATGAAAGAGTTAATAGATAGAAGCTTAAAATGCTGAAAAGATCACAGTGTAGGTTCAAGATGAAACTTTTGAAGGTTGTAACTGTTAAAAAGGCTCCCTTTCTTCTAGCCATACACCTTGTGTTAAAAGCCTGTGCTACAGTGATCCTTCCTGAAATATTGTGAACACTGTGCATGTGAAAAGAATGGGAATCGTCATTGGGGTGGGGCTTTAATGGCCGTGGGACCTATGAATTATTGATGTTATTCATTCTTCATTACTAATGAAGGAATGTAAAGCATGTTATGGAAGTATTAAATAGAAATATATACAGTGTAAGGGGGATGAGGACATTTGATGTGTATACCCAAGATTAAGGTACATTTGGTTACAGCTTGACCATCCCCACTTTTTATCTCTGTACTTATATATTTACATTTTTACTCAGACTAGATGTATGTTGTATGTTGTATTTATATTGTCTGTTTTGATAAGGCCAATTGGCTGTTCAATAAAAATCATTTCGTTTCATTTCAAAATAGAACTATAGTGGATCTCATTGGCAATTATGATATGCTGGCTTACATACAAATATGTGAACTGCCCTGAGTCCCCTTCGGGGTTGAGAAGGGCGGTATATAAAAATTGCAAATAAATAAATAAATAAATCTGAACATATAGTTTTCAAGATTATTTGGTCATGTTTAGTCAAGCACAACCTGGACATAGAATAATCAATTTAGCTGTTGGCAGTGTAACATCCTTGCTGCTCACAGTCACTTTAATCAGTGCTTTTGTGTTTCCACAACTACCTCCAAAACCAGCGAATAGGAAAATTTCAACAGAAAGGAGAAAACCATGAAAATGAACAAAATCTGGCTACCAGTATTAAAAAAAACTCTAAAACAGCAAAACAGCAGAGGGAAAACAATCAGGGACATCTAATCACCTCTCATCAAAAGATTGCTCCAGGCACTGCCAGGCTATCAAATGCTAATCAAGGTGGTCAGTTGAAACATTCACACCTAGCTCCAGCAGACAAGAGTTCCTTGTCCCACCCTGGTCTTTCCACAGATATATAAACCCATTTTCCTAGTTCCAACAGACCTCACTACCTCTGAGGATGCTTGCCATAGATGCAGGCGAAACGTCAGGAGAGAATGCCTCTAGAACATGGCCATATAGCCCAGTGATTCCAGCCATGAAAGCCTTCGACAATATATTATAGTGTTATTACGGAGATCTGCTCTTTATATGGAATGGCAGGAAAACACTTCAAAGCGCTGATGTAGACAAATCTGAGATGCATTTAGAGGTCGAAAATAAACCTTTTTGCATGAGCTAATCATGTTATGATCATCCTGCTTATTACTCATCGGTTCATAGACTTATAAAATATGAATATAAATTTTAATTTACATCCTAATCTAATGTAAACATTTTATTGATGTGGACAGATTATTGTAAGGTGGGGTTCTATTCTGGTCGCTGACTGTAAATAAAGATAGATAGATAGATAGATAGATAGATAGATAGATAGATAGAGATATAGAGATATAGATGTATATAATGTGTATATAGGGAGGGGGATAGATTTCTGTGTGACATTTTTAAACTTTGTTTACTTACATTTTTAATGTGCACATTATAATCTTATTTATAGCAACCTTTTATATCATCTATATTTTAAAATAGCCTGTTTTAAAACACTTTCAGTTTTTTTTCTCTTTCATTTTTATGTCTATAGATTTTTAGATTTCCCCTCTAAAAATACAAAATGCAATCTGTCCCTTTTTCCCCTAACTTTATCCTGTGTGTGTGTGTGTGTTTTTTAATTTGGGAACATCTGTCTAGAAATCTCTAGGTCCTCCAGCACAACTCTTATGGTCAACTTCCAACTTCCAGCACAAATTGAACATAAAGAGTTGCACTGAAGGACCTAGATCAGTGGTTCTCAACCTGGGGTCCCCAGATGTTTTTGGCCTTCAACTCCCAGAAATCCTAACAGCTGGTAAACTGGCTGGGATTTCTGGGAGTTTTAGGCCAAAAACATCTGGGGACCCCAGGTTGAGAACCACTGACCTAGAGATTTCTAGAGATAATATATATATAAAACACTATGTAACAAAATTTTAAAAATTGTTTGAAAGTGCTGTTCCTGTTTAATTGTGTGGTACTTACTTTGAAAATAGTTGATGAACTCCAGAAACTTGGTTTTTGTGGTTGCCACAAACTATTTTGAATTGGTTGAGACTCGAGATAATTCATTGAAAAACTATAGCAAAATGTGCTGCAAAATGTCCCGTAAAAACGAAGTTTTCACAGTTTAATAAACTTGTTTTCATGTTTTTATGATAGAACAAATTAGGAAATGATATTTATAACCCAGGAACAAAAATTGTGTTACATGGTGTAATCAAGTCTATGAATAATCAAAGTCAAACCCACAATCTGGAAGACCGAATGATAAAATCAGATATACTCCTTTGAGAAAACTGTTCTTTCTCCAAGGATGGTAACATGCTAAGTGAGACTAATGAAGGAAAATGTCTATTTTCTTTCCCATATAACCGTACAGAGTACAGAATTTTCGGAAACTCCTTCTCCAGACAGTGACTCTGTCAACTCTGTGGAGGGCCACTCTGAGCCGTCCTGGTTCAAGGACATCAAGTTTGATGACAGCGACACAGAACAGATTGCAGAAGAAGGAGATGACAACTTGACCAGTGAGTTTCTGTATCCTCTCCTGAGGATACCAGTCTTAATGGCATGTAAACGTTTGGCTTAGCTCTGCTTGCTGTGGTGTAGAAGTGAAAGCCTTTTTTCTAATCCTTCTTAGCAGATGCAGTATTTTCTGAGTGACTTATTCAATAGATTCTCCTTCCCCACTTCCAAAAAATGTAGTTGTTGGCATGACTTTTAAAAGCCATTCCAGTTCAAAAAGAAAGGAAATGGGGGAAAGGCAAAGCAAATGGCTTCAAATGGTCTTCTTCGGAATCCTTTAAAAGCAGATGAAAATACTGTTTCTTCTCTTCTCTTCAGCATTGCACACTGGGCTTTTTAAAAATTAAGATCATTTCTCTCCTTTTCTTGAAACCCTCATGAATACTTTTTATTTGAACCTGCCCTTTCCTCCCTGTATCTCTTCCCCTCTCACTCAAATCTAAAAGATTCTGCCAGCCCTAGCAAGCGCACCTCAGTCAGCAGCTTCCAGTCTGCCATGGACAGCGACTCAGCCGCTTCCATCAGCCTGAACGTGGAGCTGGACAACGTCAACTTCCATATCAAGAAGCACTCCAAGTACCCACATGTGCCCCCTCACCCTGCCGACCAGAAAGGTATGAGGCCGTTACCACTTGGAGTCGCACACGGTAGAAAGCAGGGCTCGGAGGACTATTTGTCTGAACTCTAGCTCCTGCTGTCAGTCCCCTGCTTGGTCCTCTTTGCTCTTCTTGCCCCAACTGGGATTGTTATAAACTGTAAGCTCGTCAGGATAGTATGTTACAAATTCATTTCTCAGCTCCTCTGACAAATTTCTTGGGCTATGCAGATGTTTTTAGAAGTTCTTAGTAAGAAACCCATGGAGCAACATTGTCAGGGTGTTTCACTCTCTGCCATCTTAGATAAAGGATGTAAAACTATTGCTGTTGTTGTTCATTCGTTCAGTCGTCTCCGACTCTTCGTGACCTCATGGACCAGCCCACGCCAGAGCTCCCTGTCAGCCGTTACCACCCCCAGCTCCCTCAAGGTCAGAGCCATAATATAGGTAAAATACTGGCGTGAAGCATTCCAGGTCATTGTCATTCAGTACTGTGCCATATCCAATTATCTGTCAGGTGATTTTGCGATCCCCACCTCTTAAAGTAGCTTAGGTGCATCTACACTGTAGAACTAATGCAGTTTGACTTCACTACAAACGCCACAGCTCAATGCTATGGAATTATGGTAGCTGTAGTTTTCCAAGGTCTTGAGCCTTCTATGCCAAATAGTGCTGGTGCCTCATCAAATACAATTCTCATGATTGCATAGCCCTGAGGCATAGTGGTTAAATAGGTGTCAAACTGCATTCATTCTGTAGTGTAGATGCACCCCCAGTGTCCTCCTGATACATTGGTCAACGGGCCCTTCCAGACAGTCCCTATATCCCAGGATCTGATCCCAAGTTTTCTGTTTATGCCAGATTATCTGGCAGTTGGGACTCATATAATCCAGTTTAAAGCAGAAAACCTGGAATGTAGGGCCTGTCTGGAAGAGCCCTACACCGTTTTCATGCCATGTCAGTTGACCAGCGTCAGTTGGTGTGATGGGAGTTGAAGTCTAATATGAACAGTTTTAAGATAGTATATTGGGGAGGGTGCCGTTATACAGTAATGAAATTATGCATTTAATACCACCTAGTAAGTTTCTTAATGCAACAGTTCTATATATAGCAGTGCCTGTTTAGAACTACATCTGTTATTTATTTATTTATATACCGTATTTATATACCGCTCTTCTCAGCCTGAAGGCAACTCAAGGCGGTTTACAGTTGGCACAGTTTATTCTGGTTTGTGTAAAGGTGTAAAAGCATATAGACGACTAATTTTAAAAATATACCAATTCCTGCTCCCCTCCCCCTTTCCCCCTCTACCCAAGCACCAAACCTCATAGCGATATTGCAGCGAAGTCTGACCTTTTCATCTTCCTTGTTTCCTTTGACATTACTTCCTGATAAAAGCCACAAAGGAGTTTAGGGGATTTTCTCTTTCTAAACGGAAGTATGTAAAAGAAGGTAAATTTGCCTGCGGCTACGGTTGTTCATAAATGCCATTATAAAAAGAAAAAAAACCTAACAAGTGCAGCTTTTAAAGATACTATTTCAGTGTATGGCTTGAACTATCAGTGCATAGTAACATGCAACAGCTCTGCTTACTAAAATAAAATAAAAAGTTGCTGTGGGTTGGGACTAATATGAAATAACCATAGTACTAGAAGCTCTTCTTTTGCTTATGAATTAACAGTCTCTTGTATTTCTGCTAATATTGCATGCCAGTTATGTGTACACCTGAAAAGGCCCCTTGGTGGTCACCAAGAGGGGAAGGAACATAAGCATTTAGTACTGTACATCTTTCCCAAGAAATGTTGGCAGCTCAGTTCACCATTGTTTGGCTGTATAGCGGACTTTCTGTATATATTTCAGATTTCAATATTAATGTCAAAAATACGTAATATGATTTTACATAGGTTTTGTGCTACATTAGAACAGTAGAGACAAATATCACTTAAGTAAAAATATAAAATGACCAGAAAAATAAAATAAGGTGGAAACAGTACATCCATTTCTGCCTGTGCCTGGCCTTTACTCATTGATTCAGACACATTTCCTGACATGTAGGTCACAAAGTGTGAAGGGTACAGCTTCTTTCATTCGTCGTACATGGTAATCAAGAACAGTTTTGGCTATTCTTTGCTTTACCATAAGATAGTAATAAGTTAGCCTGTGATGTCCCTTCCACCCACCCACTTCCTGTGAAGCTTCTTTTTTTTAGATACATCTCAGTTGAGTGCTATTAATTATCTTCCCCACAGGTGAGAAAAATGTGATAATAGTTTATTGAAAATCTAGCCCAGAGTTTGGCACTTTCTCTTCCATAATAAGAACTACAGATATTGTGTTGTCGAAGGCTTTTATGGATGGAATCACTGGGTTGCTGTGAGTTTTCTGGGTTGTATGGCCATGTTCCAGAAACATTCTCTCCTGATGTTTTGTCCACATCTATGGCAGGCATTCTCAGAGGTTGGGAGGTCTATTGGAAACTGGGCAAATGAGGTTTTTATATCTGTGGAATGTCCAGGGTGGGAGAAAGAACTCTTGTCTGTTTAAGGCAGTGGTTCTCAACCTGTGGGTCCCCAGATGTTTTGGTCTTCAACTTCCAGACAACAGCTGGTAAACTGGCTGGGGTTTCTGGGAGTTGTAGACCAAAACACCTGGGGACCCACAGGTTGAGAACCACTGGTTTAAGGCAGGTGTGAATGTTGCAATTGACCAGCTTGATTAGTATGTGATGGTCTTGCATTTTCAAAGCCTGGCTGGTTTACTGCCTGGGGATCCTTTATTGTTCGCTGGCCCTGATTGATTCTTGTCTGAAATTCCCCTGTTTTTTAGTGTTCCTCTTTATTTATTGACCTGATTTTAGAGTGTTTTAAAAATACTGGTAGCCATATTTTGTTTATTTTCATGGTTTACTCCTTTCTGTTGAAATTGTCCACATGCTTATGGATTTCAGTGGCTTCTCTGTGTAGTCTGACGTGGTAGTTGTGAGAGTGGTCCAGCATTTCTATGTTCTTAAATAATATGCTGTGTCCAGGTTGGTTCATCAGGTGCTCTGCTATAGTTGACTTCTCAGATTGAATTAGTCTGCAGTGCCTTTCAACCTAATTTGCCTAGTTTCCAACAGACTTCACAACCTCTGAGGATGCTTGCCATAAATGTAGGCAAAACGTCAGGAGAGAATGCTTCTGGACCATGGACATAGAGCCCAGAATGTGGCTTGTTATGGAAACAAGGATTAATGATCAAGCTACGGTGGAGACACATTTCCCCCATGATAACTCTTCCAGGAGTGAATTTCCTTTCCAAAGTTCTTACTTCCTGTTGTCTTAGCCCCATTTATGATGGAGATGGGACCGAGACAAGGGCCTCTCCTGAAGATCTCAGGACCATTTGTAAGTTGGATGTTTGGAACTCAGGGATAGCCTGTATAAGCAAAATAATCAACATGGTGTAGTAGTTTGAATGTCAGATCAGGAACCTGAAAGCCCAGAGTTCACCAAGTGGCCTTGGTCAAGTCACATTCTTTGAGCCTTAGAAGAAGGCAAAAGCAACTCCCCTAAAAATGTTTTGCCAAGAAAACCCTGCAGTAATTTTGCCTTAGGGTAGCCGTAAAGCAGTTACAACTTGATTCAGTGGCATGAGATAGGCCACATGTGTCAAACTCAAGGCATGCAGGGTGAATCCAGCCCATCATTTTCTGTATGTAACCCTCCAGCTGGACTACAACTCCTATATTCCTCATCATTACGCATTATGAACAGAACTGATGAGAATTGTGATACAGACATTTGGGAGGCTGGCATTTGTTTTTGTTTTTTAGTCAGGATAGTGAGGTTTGAAGGGTTATGGATATGATGTCTAACTTGAAAATGTCCTTTAACCTTCCCCCAAGTGTTGTTTTGTTGCAATTCCCATTAACCTTAGTGTGCATGGCAGGTGAGTTGTCTTTCAGTATCATCTGGGGACACAAATTGGGTGAAAACTAAAGAGCACCAACCACTATGTAAAAACATTTATAGTTGGCCCTCTGTTTTCATGGACTCTCCATCCATGGATTCGGTGGCCCTTTGAAGGTGACCATAAGACTGATGTGGCCCTTGATGAAAATGAGTTTGACATCCCTGAGTCAGGCTGTGAAAATACAAAGACATTTTGTAGTTAAGGGAAATGGTTTTATCTAAATTTAGCACCAAATAGTCATGGCCTGAATGAATAAGGGGGTGGTTCAATGTTCTTCTTCTTGGCCATCCATTTATTTAATGGATTTTAAATTATTTTTGCAAGACAGTTCACATTAGTTAGTAAAACAATTATAGGACTACTTTTCTAAAAGAACAACACTAACCTAGAACCTAAGAAACAGTTGAATAAAAATGTGCCAATCCTGGGCTTCAGAAATGGCCCATTTCTGGAAAGGAGAAGGAGAATCATCGTGCTCTAGATGTTTTGCTGAGGTTGTTTGGCTGACCGCATCTCCTTGTCCAAGGCTGCCCGGGCCCTGAGTCTTCAGGAGAGGTCTTTTTCTTGGTCCCATCTCCATCGCAAGCTCAGTTGGTGAGAATGAGAGGGAGGGCCTTCCTTCTCTGTGGCTGCCCCTCAATTCTGGAGCTCCTTCCTTCTCAGGAAAGCCAGAAAGGACCCTGCTGTCCTTCTGTTTTATTCAGGAGGTTTATCAATTCAAGTGGGCTGAAATATCTAATGGTTATCAGGTTTCTTTCCCCTGCTATGCTGTGGAGAACTGAAATCCATAGCATAAGAATAAGGACTCAGTTTTTTTTGAATATCCAACAGCTAAGGAATAGTTATGCCAATATTTTGAGGTTGTAGCTCAGAAAGTGATCCTGTAATCACCTTGTTTTACAATACTGCAATTCTAATTTGAATATGCTCTGCAAGCCAACAGTCTTTTCTTTTTAGCTGACATATAGCGGACCTGGAAAGCTTTCAGATTAAAAATGCCTTCATCAAGGGAGAAAGGCTAAGAGCTACTAAGTAGTAATCACTAGCTTTGCCCAACCTTTGTGCCAGTCCTTTGCTAGCCAAGGGACATCATTCACAGCTTTCTCCTCTCTGTGCGTTTAGTATATCTGCAATGTACAATGCAGGGGATGAAGTTCAAATTGTGCACAGAGCTGCCTATATCTGTGGAGAAAACACTGATATCTCTGCATCCCTTTAAAAGGTTTACATACATGTTTCCACTTCACTTGCACGTTTGCTGAGTGCCAGAAAAGGATTGATCCCCAGGAGATAAAGATTGAGCAGAACCAGGGATATTGATGTGATGATTGTAGCGTTTATTTTGTCATCTTTTTCGTGGTGTTGGGGAAACATTTTCAAAATGTACTTTTCATCACTGCTTAGAAAACCTTTTCTCTATGAGAATCTTATTATAGCATCCAGGCTGTCCCTAATATGCCTCTATGAGGTTCCAAAATATCTAAAAATTGGAGAGTGGGTGCATTGTTTTTGCAGCAAGGTGATGGGAGTATCTCTGTCACAGAGGATTGGCAAATATTTCTGTAAGACCATAGTGTTGAAGAGATAGAAGGCTACAGTGTCCTGTCTTCATCTCTCATTTCTCCTTATTGCCCTACTTCTGTCACACAAATTATCATAGCTGAGGCACAGGCTCCTTTAGTAGCAGTGTGTGTTAGTTTCCCCAATTCTTCATCATGTTCGTAGATACGGCTGTTGTACAGACAATTCACAAAAAGGGCACCAGAGGTGCTTTATGGCTCTTGGTAGTGGTGAAAGAGGAAATGATTCATGTTGCTGGTGTTTAAATGAGATCTGTCTGGTGTACTTTTCTCTGAAGAGAGGTGTGTCTGGAGGCTGTGGATTAGTCGTCCTCTTCTCTATGCCTTTCTATGCCTTATAATGCAAGCATGAGATGGTGAGGCATTAAGTCCCGTGCACCACACCATTTAGCATCTTTATATCATGGAGGAATATTCCTACAATCTGAGGAGACAGATCAGTGCGAGAAGGAAAATCCTTCAAGTACTCTTAACTTTTTCTCCCTATCAGCCACACACAGTCTGTTGGATTACTATCCCGCAAGTGAAAGACTTTTAATGAATCCAGAAATTTACTCCTATCTTGTGGCATATTAGTTGACCCTAAAATGGTACTGACAAACTTCCATTTTATCTTAATAGAGCAATTTATTTATTTATTTATTTGCATTATTTCTACCCCGCTCATATGAGTTGTCAATGCCTTTTGTTCAGTGAAATAGTTTTTGGAATAAAAAACAGTATGACCGAAATCTGTAGAAATCATTGGTTTTGATGTAATTGCACCCATTTTGAACCTGAGCGCTATTTGAAGCAAGAAATGAGCAATGTAGTAAAAGTGATACTGTTAAATGCTTAGCTTTGAAATAAGTATTTAAAATTAGAAAACAGTTGCAGAAATCTCCATTTGCAGTTGTATTTAAAGTGTGAACCATGTCATTATTTAAGTTTCCTAACTTGAGAAATCTTCTTGTAAAGGAAAAAAAGCATTTTTGGAAACTGTGACTGCCTTTTGGATTTTAATTAATTTTATAGGAGTATCTAGGGCTATATATCCAACTCTCTGAAAATCTAGATAGCCTTGTAGTGGTTTGAGTATTGGGTGATGTTTCTCATTGTGTGCTTTCACGTATTTTCTGACTTATATCTATTCTAAAGCTAATCTATTGTGGAGTTTTCTTGGCAAAATTTTCCCCATGGCTTTCCTCTGAGGCTGAGCAAGGTCAGCAAATGGTTTTCCATAGGTGAGCAAGGATTTGAACCCTGTTTCCAGAGTCATACTTTAAAACTACTACACCACACTGGTTCTTTGGTTCACCTTAGGGTCACCATACATCTAAAGCAACCAGAGGGGATGTAACTATTTCTGAGAACCAGAGAGGATATGGGAAGGGGCTAGTGGTAGGGAGCAGCCCATGTTGCTTTTCAGCATTTGTTGACTTGTTCCAAAATGGATCAAAACGACATTCTGAATTTGGGTGAGAGACTATCGTGCTAATTCTTGGCGCATTTAGGAAGGCCTGTAAACTAATAGTCACGCCACTCAGGGAGGACTTTCGCAGCTTCAGTCAGTTAGCCTTCAGTCCATTAGTTGAACATTCACCCTGCTCCCTGATCAGACATCTGTTGGTTACTAATTGTGACTACCCCAAACTGAAAGACATATTTTGAGATAATGACCAAGACCAATTAGCTGTGTATCAGTTTTTCAGGCGTTGCATCTTGCTATATGTCAGTTGCTTTTTAATGGGAGCGTGGGCACTAATGAGACTACCTTTACCCCTAGCAAGATTGTGCTCAAGAGTCTAGCTTTGCAATTTATTTTTTAAAAATAAGGGTGTTCAGCTTGCCAATCGAGTCTGAATCCTTGCTTGGTAAGTTGAGCTCCGCATCAGGGATGCTGTTAAACAAACTGGACACAGGAGGCATGTATAAATTGGCAAATTGCTTCTGTTTGGTTTTACTTTCATGCCAAGCTGGCTCCGTAACAGTGTAATACTGTATTTGGCAGCCATGCCTTCACAGCGATAGATGAAAGAAGAACGAGACCATCCTCTGGGCCTGAGCTTCTTGGAAGTGTTTCTACAACAGTGACTAAATCTATGGCCTGAGTCATCTCTCTTTTTTCTCTTGCTGTGTGGGTGTGTAAGCAATATAATTACCGTGCCTTGCTAGCATCGTCTGTCATTTTTCTTTTTCCCCTCCCATCTCCATACTTTGTTCTCCTTTCAGAGTACTTGATTGCTGACAACGGAGGACAGCAAATGATCTCAATAAGCGACGCTTTTATCAAAGGTGAGTTAATGGGAGAAAGCCCCCCCCCTTCACTCCAGTCCCAGAGTTAGAAAATGCCGAGTGAATATTTCTCATTCCTTCTCTCCGCTCCCCTGTTTTTGCTAAAGAGTTGGAACATTTTAAATTAGAGCACATGTAGCCTCCCTCAAAACTTTGAACAAAGCAAAACAACACCCACCTTCCCCCACAGACTTGGATTATTTCTTGTTAGCTGTACCTTCACTTGAGCAAGTTGAGTTTCAGAAACTTGTTTGTGTACACACAAAAAATAAGGCGCTCTAAGAAATGACTCACTCTTGGTGTATACTCCTCCCTCTTGCATAGCATAGCTGAGCTAATGTCTGCTTCTGAGTTGCATCAGGCACTAGGGAGTCAAACGCAGTATAGACCTGTAGGAGATCTATTCTCAACTTTTTAAACTTAGTAAAGTTGTTATGGAGAATAACTGGAAAAGCTACCATGTCATTGAAATATAGCATTTAAAAAATATCCATTCTAACGAAAGCAAGTAGCTTTGCAAGTGTTTGGAAAAAAATATATTTTTACAAAATCCTCCTAAGTACCATGGCACTCACTATGGGGATTTGGATGACTGTATTCCACCCCCCCCCCCCCCCAAGTTTGAATGTATCACGGGGCATGGTTGCAGGGCAATTCTAGAATCTGTTGCCTGAAAAGTTACTTTGAGCTTGACACTGTTACATTTGAAATGAACCTGGGGATGGAAGCCACTAATAAATAATCATCATCATCATCATCATCATCATCATCATCATCATCATCTTTATTTATATCCTGCCACCATCTGCCCAATGGGGACTCAGGGCGGCTTACATGAGGCCACACCCAGACAACAAATTGCGGTACAATAAAAAAGCAATAGCACAGTAAAATACATAAAACAATACAATAAGCAATATACAAATGCAATATCCACAAACACAATGACAACGAGCAGGCCACATGTACAAGATAAAATACTTAAACTCAGGGTGAGATAAAAGAGGAGTAAATTTACGAGGGAGAGCTTAAAAGAAGAGAAGTTTAAAAAAACCAGGCTTTCATACAAGGGTGGAGTATACTCCAGGAACAATAGCGTTGAGTGGAGCAATAGTTTAAGGTTGTGTGACTACACTAACTATTGTTGACCATTTGTGTAAATTTTGATTCTGCATTTTGAATCTGTTCTTTTGATTTAAGGGAATCTCAACGGCTGTGTATTGTTATTTTTTGTCTGCTACCTTTATGAGACCAACTTAAAAAATGCATAGCATTTTCTAAAACCAAGAATTTTAGAAAAAAACCTCTTCAACAACATGCCTTAGGGTGGTGGCGAGATTGTGTTGGACTTTCATGATGGCTAGGAGATTCTAGGAATTTTAGCATGGAAAAGGAAGCTTTCCAAGATCTTGTTTAGATGGCTTAAGTCTGGCATAAGACTCAGAAGGGGCATTTATTCTCATGACCATGTCAGCCCTTGAGAAAAGAATGCCATTTATGAAGTAGCGGCATTATGATGGAGATGAGCACCATCCTGCAGTTCGACACGACTAGACTTAATGTCAGGGGAAACCTTTACCTTTACCCTTTACCTGAAAGAAACCTATATATGGGTAATAAACTTCTTCTATTTCACCTCATTGTTCTTTAGAGTCTCTATTCAATCGACGAGTTGAAGAAAAATCCAAGGAGTTGTTTTTCACCCCATTGGGCTGGCACCACAGTAATCTGGACCTGCTGAGGGAGGAAAATGGGGAAAAACAAGCCATGGAGAGGTTGCTGTAAGTTGGGTTTGTGGTGAGGAAACAAAGAGCATCCTTCACACAAACAGTTATTCTTTGACTGAGGGCTGTACTCCTCATGTAGCATTTCCTGTACAAACTCTAGGAATCTGTCCATATCCTTCTCCATTTAGTTTAGTGTGCCTGTTCTTTAAAAAAAACTTCTGAAAGAGCACATGTCTTGCATGAGGCATGTTCCAGGTAGTAAAACTAGACGTGATTTTCTGGGTCTCATGGAAGGCTTAGGACAGTCACTCAAAATCTATGTTTAATTGGTGAAGAAAGAGATGGAATGTACGTGTGGACAAAATGGGGTCAGAGAAAGGTGATATATCTACAGTAATCTGTAGTAGTATCTGGAAGTAGAAGCAGGGGGTCATATAGTAATTTCCTTTCTTCTGTACATTAACTGGGCTCTTTACATTTGTTTTCTCTGCAGCTCTGCTAATCACAATCATATGATGGCACTGCTTCAGCAGCTGCTATACACTGAATCATTGTCCCTCTCCTGGAGGGATATCATTGTGCCTGTGGTCTGCCAGGTGGTTCAGACCGTTCGACCTGATGTGAAGAACAGAGATGATGACATGGACATCCGCCAGTTTGTCCATATCAAAAAAGTGAGTTTCCACAATATGGAAAGCTGGAAATGAGAGGAAAGAGAAGTAGTCCAAGGCACTTGAGATTAAGATTGTCTGCACACCGCACCTATCTCCAAAAACCTATCCATCTCACCTGTCATGTTCAGCATTTTAAAATTTTAATCATTACATTTGGCCCGGCCTTAGTTTTAAATGTGTCATGGTATTATTGTCTAATGTTTATTGCTATTGTTTTAATGTTTATTGCTTGTTTTATGAGTTTATTTATTGTTGTATTTGTTATGCTGTTGTTTTATTGATGTGTTGGGCCTCGGCCTCTTGTAAGCCGCACCGAGTCCTTCGGGAGATGTTAGCGGGGTATAAATAAAGGATTATTATTATTATTATTATTATTATTATTATTATTATTATTATTATACGATAATGTCCTCTGCATGACTTGACCTGCTTTTAAGGGACTGACACATTGGTGGACTGAAACCAGATGTCTCACCAAAGAACCATTATGGATGGGTCCATGTGTACATATGGATGGTAGCCCACCAGTAGCTTGATTCTCTTATTCTGTTTTCTGATTTTTTAAAAAGGGATACTTTTGAGTGGTTGGTGGGTAGAGTTTGTGTGGTGAGAACATCATGTATGTCTAAATGAAGTTTTAATCATAGAATCATAGAGTTGGAAGAGACCTCATGGGCCATCCAGTCCAACCCCCTGCCAAGAAGCAGGAATATTGCATTCAAATCACCCCTGACAGATGGCCATCCAGCCTCTGTTTAAAAGCTTCCAAAGAAGGAGCCTCCACCACACTCCGGGGCAGAGAGTTCCATTGCTGAACAGCTCTCACAGTCAGGAAGTTCTTCCTAATGTTCAGATGGAATATCCTTTCTTGTAATTTGAAGCCATTGTTCCGCATCCTAGTCTCGAGGGAAGCAGAAAACAAGCTTGCTCCCTCCTCCCTAAGACTTCCCTATAATCAGATTATTCCTCTGGCATAAAAATCGAATTGTTGCTCTGTAAAGTTTTTTGTTTACCTTTCTGTAATCAAAAGTGCAATGTGTAATTGTGTTAAATTATTTTTCATTTCACTCTCTCTCTTTTTTTGTATATCCGAGATATAGTCTTGAACAAATAGTGTCACTTTATTTCATTATAACACTGATCATACCAAAGTCCTACTCTAAGCTTAATTATGAAAACAAAAGTGATATCTGTGTATAAAAAGTTGCATATATTTTAGATTCACCGGAACAAAGAAAAGCAATCGGGAAAATATCAGGGCCAGCTAACTCCTCCCAAAAAAGGATTCCCCCAGGCAGGAAGCAGCCGGGCTTTGAAACTAGAAGGCCATTAAATGTTAATCAAGATGGCCAATTGCAACATTCACACTTGCCTCAAGCATCCTGTTCATTCCACAGATATATAAACACCACTTGCCTAGTTTCCAACAAACATCACAACCTCTGAGGATGCCTGCTATAGATATGGGCAAAATGTCAGGAGAGAATGCTTCTGGAACATGGCCATACAGCCCAAAAACCTCATAGCAACCCAAAGCTACTTTCATTTGAGATATTAATGAGGCATTAATGGTACCACATTGACTTTGGAGCAGGCCAGAATAAAAGGGAAACTGCACCTGTGGCACTGTATTATCTTTTCTGTCCTCAGCCTTGTCATTATTCTCTTCCCTTACTGTGATAATTATTGAGGCTTCATTCGCAGCTACAAAGGGAATGGCCTATCTTTGAAAAGAAACATTTTGTAGACGCTCAAAGCACAATGGTGCTAATAGTGTTAGAACAGATGGAAAGAGTGAGTGGTTATTTGTTTCTGCACAAAGTAATGACAGCAGATCAGTGTTTTGTTATGAAAGAAATGTATTTTCAGTAAAAAAATAGTTTTATTTTTAGATAAATGTGGTATTCCTGAGAAATGGATTATTTCCTAGGAGAAATGTTATAGGTCACAACATCTGCTGGATGCTGGTGTGCAAGGGAAAGTGAATTTCTGGGAAGGCTTTAACCCTTGTGAATGGAAGCATAGATAGTGTTTGCAAACTGGAGTGTCTGTGGAGTGTGCCGCTACATGTTGATTTACCTCCTAAATGCCAAAACCTCCGTTTAATGTCTTATTTCTGGATAGGTTCTTAATGCTGTGGGTGGGTTTTGCATTAAAAGAGATTTGCTTCATTCAGTGTACAATGAAATCCTTCCTTTTTGCCAGATTCCAGGTGGAAAGAAGTTTGACTCTATAGTGGTGAATGGCTTTGTATGCACCAAGAACATAGCACATAAAAAGGTATGATGCAGCGACTTCAGCTTGGTAATTTAGCTTCCAGTAGGACCCAAGCAGCATGGTAAAGGGTGATGCGTTCTAGGAATTGCAATTCAAAACAGATGGAAATCCAAAAGTTTGAGTAATGGGGGGGG